GGGCGGGGGTGGGGGTGGTGAAGGATGTGGCGAAGGAGCCGGCGGGCTTGGCGATGGCGGCTGCGGTGACGGTGGCAGAGGAGACGGTGGCGAAGGTGATGGGGGAATGGGTGAAGGAGGCAACGGCGGTGGCGGCGGCGGAGGCGGTGGCGGCGGTGGAGAATGAGGCGGCGGTAGAGACGGCGGGTGCAATGGTGACGGCGACGGCGGCGGACTATCCGGATCACAAGTTTTCTGGAGAGATCCAGACAAGCACGACACGTCACCAATGCCGTACACATCACTGTTGAATGAGTAGCCAGGCACGCAGACGCCGCCGCTCATCTCGTCGACCCATCGAGCAAGTGCTCCCTCCAGCCAGTCACCCAGCTTGACCGCGCTGTCGGCGCTGGCGAAGCTGCCGCACAGCTTGATGAACGGATATTCGAATAGCTGTGCGTCAAATGTCGTACTGCAGACCTCAAGCGTAAACGGGCTGCTAATAATCGCACCGTACAACGCCGCGCTGCTGATAATATCACCGGAGACCAAATCGAACATCTCCGTACAGTTCGGCGCGCCGCCGCTGCCGAAGGTGTACAGCGGGCCGGGGAGGCTGTCCGGCGGCAGGATGGTGAGCTCAGCACACATGGTGCAGGGTATCACAGGGGCTGGAGAGGGCGGCAGCGGCGCCGGCGGCATTGGAGAAGGTGGCGACGGCGCCGGCGGCACTGGGGAAGGTGGCGACGGAGCCGGCGGCACTGGGGAAGGTGGCGACGGAGCCGGCGACAGGGGTGGGCTAGGCCTCGGCGAGGGCGGGAAGGGCGGCGGCGGCGCCGGCTCGCAGACGGGGCAGAATACACCGGAGGACGACTCCGCGAAGGAGTACCTGTACAGCATGGAAGCGAGGATGAGAGCAACGCGGTTGCGTAACGAACACGGGCACATGCATGGAAGTCAAAATGCAATCCCCCAATTCAGTTACTTAGGGTTCAGTTAATTTGGCTGTTTACCTGCAACCGCCAAGTGTCTTGGAGTCCCTGCATATGTCCCCGATGCTGTAGCAGGTGTTGCGGGTGGTGATGCAGATCCGGGTACCGGGGAAAGTGGTGACGTTGCGCTTCAAATTGTAAATCTTCAGCTCATAGCCCGGAACGTCACCTGCGCGCAGAAACGACAGGACTTAGGGTTGCACAAATAGGAGTACAAAAAGAGGAGCCTGTGATGTGAAGTGTGTGGAGTGAGAAATTGCAGCATGGCAGCTTGGGCGCAGCGTATGTATGCATTTATGGCGTCTGGTAGAGGCTCCAAATAAAATCAAGGGCCGTGCAGGCAACGTACCCGTGTTATTGTGGAAGTACGGATTCCAGGAAAGGTGGGTGGCGTTGTTGACGGTGACGCTGACCAGGTTGGACTTGTTGCCGCATTGCGGCGTCGTCTCAACAACAACCTTATCCACCGAATTCAAAAGCGAGGTGCAGCAGGGCTTTGAGATGTCGCAGCCGATGTAGTTCATGCGGAAGCAAGTCCTCGAGAATGTTGCGTTTAAGATCTGCGCGAAAACGCGAGCTGAGATGTCAGCTGTCATGTGGCCGTTCCGTTTCTCAAAGTGCGGGAGAAGAGACAAGAGATTACTATCGCACAGCTAATGGCACAGTTAATCATATTATTAGAATTTGACTTATTTCGCAGGTTTGGTGTGTGCGAATTATTTGCTTTTTTGGACATGGATGGAACACTCACCGCTGTCCCAAGGTATTCCAACTGATATGGGCTACATTCGCAATCATAGTAATCGCATCTGCACCACGGAAAAGCATGTCCAGACCTCAATGCTGGCATGTTCACCGGGGTAATGTCCGCCGTCGCTGCAGAAATGGCGGGAAACAAATAAGGGGATGAACGCCAAGAAATTAAACAGGTTTCTGCGCTCCGTTGCCAAGGCAATAACATCGCTATGTTTCTATTTTGTGCGGATTCACGCAGCTGTCTTACCCAATGCGACCTGCACTGCGACGGTCCAAAGTAACAATGTGGCCCAGCTGCCTGGCATCCTGGCCAGATTCATACGCGCCGAGAGCGTCATCTGAATAATCCGCTGGCTCCCTTATCTTAAATCTCAATGCAAGTGCGAAGCTGTCAATCAACTGGAGCCGAGGATGCTCAGCCTAAAGTATTGAATACAACTACAAATCTTCCTGATTGCAGGGTACTAGTTCGAAATTGATATTGTAAGCTAGAATGTCGGTTAAATGGTCAGGTAAAATCGGTGTTAAATAAGAATATGCATCTACGTTCTAACCGAGACCGAGCTGATTGACAGGCTGGTCCGGAACTATGACGCTATCTAGTACTTATGTACAAGCGTCAAGGAAGTGAATGTACTTCCGAGGATGATGGAAAGGAAAGATGAGCAGGGCATTAATATACGGTTTTGATTGTACGGCGCAGGGGAAATCGAAGCCCGGTAGGGGGTGCCGGCTTGCCGTTAGCTTTGGGATCCGTAGAGGCTAACGGTTTTCAGATGCACTAAAGGTAGAGGTTTGAAATTTTTTATATGCGTGCGGATCCAACCCAAATGGCTTGTGGATGAGAGTTTGGAACCGAAGCATTCGTAATTAAACTACTCCCGTCTGGTTTGTGGTTTGTCTGGATTGTTTCAAGGTTGTTTGGACACTGTTGTACTGGTTGGAAGCATTGCAGAGCGGACCTGGCAGCAGCACTGGAGCACAGCTCGATCTGCTCGTGTAAGCTAACTTTTTGCGTCCAATCTGAAGGACATTTTAGCCGTTTAGGATTGAAATCTTCACAAGGTTGTACTTGCCAAATGAGTCATTGAGCACTTGGCTTACCGCATTTGGTTGAACGTCTCGCGTCAACATCGCAGCCTTTTTCTGTCGGTCAGCAAGTATCTCTTACATAATTAACAAAACGAAAGGAAAAAAGCTCTGCGAGGAAGCTCCGAAGAGGGTAAGGATTTTCAGATTGAATCGTTTAGATGAGCGCCGCAGACAGCCTCCCATCCTGAAAGAGAAAGGCGTCATCGTTCGGTCTTATATTGAATTTGCATCCTCACCAGCTCACCTCTCTGGTGCGCCGGGCACCAAAGTCAATTGCGGTTGGGCTACGGGGACTGGAAGTGTATGTCCCGACCCGGAGGGAACCGCTACATGGACAGAGCGAAGGGCAGAGCGAAGGGTAGAGGACACTTCATGCTTTAGGTACCCTCACATCCAGCATGCAATCCTCGCAACTCAAAGTCACAATTGCATTCAGGTGCATACCTACCTGCCGCAGTCCAATTGGCCTCCTCTTTCTTTTATAAAAAGTTACAAGCTCCGCGTACAAGTGCAGAGGCGTCCGCTAGAGCTGGTGTGGGGTTGCCATGGACTTTTCGTAGTTTCGGTCAGTTTTGGTCGCTCGGCTCTCCCCGCTCCCTTCATCCTTTTGCTATCGCTTCACATCACCCCTTTCTCTCTCTCCACGCATCTCTCCCTTTCTCGTGCATGCGCACGCGAATGCTCTCTCACCCGAGATTTCTTGTTTTCCTTTGGGGCTCAATTCCTTGGAGCGCCTATCCCGGCGGTTGTTGCACCGCTGGCTGCGGAATCTCACTTTTCCACTCACCCTCCTCGCGGGTCCCTGACCGACCCCGCTTGCGGGGCCTGGCAGTGTTTTCCCTCTTGCCTCAGTCCATGCGTCGTCCGCAAAAGCGCCTGTGCGTAGACGAAACGAGGCCAGTAAAGCAGCAGCTTGCCTAGAATCACAATTGCTTCTTTGGCAGCAACAAAAAATCAAACGGTGGTGCATCAGAACGGGAAGGAAGAAAGATGGAAAGGAAATTTAGGCGGAAGCTGCCACATAACACACTTCGGCAGCAGGTGCGGAGGGCCTCATTCCAGTGCCTGCATCTGTTGACCTTAGGAATCTTTGACTCGGGGCATTAAAATTATAGTTTGCTGCGTTTGAAAGGAATATAATAAACAGGGCCACGTATAATATAACCAGAGCGTAGAGGCGTCCGCTGCTCTAAGAAGATCCTCCTAAAAGCGAGCACCCGTGAATTCGCAGCAGAATAGCACAGCAGAAGGCGGTGGGCGCTGCCCCTGCCCCCGTTCATACGTCCTGCGGGTGGCGCCCGGGGGAGGGGGGTGCTAGGTCGGTGCGCCTCCAACCCGCATGCCGTGCTGTTCAATGCACCCGCATCAATCTGTCAGTCAGCTATAGACCAAGATACCTCTACTGAAATGTCTTGTTTTTATAAAGCCGTTCAACTCGTTGTGATATGCCCGAAACGTTTGGAAACTGTTAACATTTCTTCGGAAATACGGAAAAACGTCAATGTGCGACAACGGACAGCGATAGATAGGTGCACCTTGGCATTCCTTCCAACAGCAGCAGCAGCAGTATTAACAAAATAAACGCGACCTGGCAAGCAACCCTCCGATATGAACTTGCAGCGACAGGGCTATCAATCGTCAAGTGCGAGGGTACTACCGAAACCGCCGTACACCTACTTGGACACATAAAAACGGGCAAGCGGCATGCGACATGCCAGCAGAGAGCTGGCTTCGGCCTCTTGAGTACGACCATTTCGGTACGGGCTTTCCTTTCCTTGGTGTTTGTACACCCAGCCAGCTTGGGCATTCGAAAAACGCTATTGCCAAAATGCTATTTCGTCTATGGGGTCATTTGTTGTGTTGGTGTGGGTTCACTGCGCTGCACAACAGCAGGGGTGCTGCTGGCTTGCGAACTTTAAGAGAACACAGCGGCAAAAGTGATTTTCCAAACAAGACCTTGAAAATAAGACCTTCTGATCAATGGTGCGAAACTGAGAGCCGGTCCACACCACCGCCTGTCTCGAGTCTGTCATAGCCAAGTTAGGCTACGCCACCACCACGACAGCTGTAGTTGCGACAGCAGTAGCAGCAGTAGCAGCAGTAGCAGATATCAGTCCCTACAGGTACCCCGTAGACCGTCCGACCAAGACCGACAACACTGCCCTTTGCTGCGGCAGGATTCATCACACATCATAACATCACACCAACACGAACACCACCACATCATCAAGCATCGTGCCCTGTCCACCACATCACCATCATCATCGCCCATTCAACGTCATCGTCACCAAGAACACCGCCATCATCGCCGCCGTCAAGGTCCGCTAATCTAAATAGTTGGATACCTCCTATGTGAAAGAAAGCACCGTGTCTGAAGTCCACTCAACCGTTACGCAGCGTGGTTGGGTCGCATCCCCGTCTGTCAGCCTGTCAACCTGTCTGTCAACCTGTCTGTCTGTCTGTGTGTCCGTCTGTCTATCGGTCAGCGAGCGAGTAGTGAAAGGTTGCCGGATTTGACCTCCCGCCCTTGACTGGCAGTAAGCCCCTAAAAGCCACCCACTCTACTGGCCCATCTTCACATCCCTCCTTTCCATTCCTTCGCCCAGTGGTGCGAAGCCCTTTTACAGCAACTCAGTATTCCATAGCATTCCCGACTTTGTAACTTCCATACATGCAAAAGTGCCCTTACCTTCAAGATATACATACATACATACAGATGCACATGCGTATGCGGCGGCATATTTCATCTCATTCATCATCTTTTCACTCGGTACCCCTCCACCATCCCGCACTCGCCGCGCAACACACGCAATTCAAAATACCAGCCAGCTATTCCTGCAACTGCGGTGCAGAGGCGCTTGCTCACGCCACGCGCCATCAGGCCCCCTTAGACCCAGGGCTCCGGAGCCAAGCCATCGCCCTGATGGGATATTGGGGTGCCTGGGTTCAAACGCCGGACACCCGCCCCGTACAATACATCATCATAATGAGATGATGATGATGATGATGATGATGATGATGATGACTTCGATCATTTCAATACCTCCGATGATGACGGCAAACCTATCGTACTGCGTCCCGCCACAGGTTCTGCTCGTACCGCTCTTTCAGCTCCGGAATCTGCATGTTGCGCCGTAATGGCGCGCCAACTGCGTGACCGTACGTGTAAAAGTCGTACGGAAAGCGCTCCAGCGGCGCCAGGATGGGGGGAGCCGAAGGACCGCTATCAGTGCCGCTGCTGTTGCTGCTGCTGCTGCCGCCGCCAAAGCCGCCGCCGCGGACGGCGGGGGTGGCCGCGGTGGCGGCGGGTGTCGTGGACCGGCGGGCCTGGCGCGGCGACATTTCCACCACCACCTGCCCTGCTTGCAACGCGCTCGGTGGCAAGTCCGCGTAGGGGCCGTTGATCGCCCCATGTCGGCCCCAATCCGCACCGCGACCACCATAGGACGCGGATTCTCCGCCACCGCCGCCGGCGCCACTTTTCTTTTTGTGCTGTGCGGCAAAGTAGCGAGTGTGGCGGCGCACTTACTTAAAAGGATGGGGATCGCACTGTAGGGGGTGTCCTTCGTCACGGAGCTTGCGGTCCTAAACGGAAACGGATCCCCCGAGTTCCGTGCCGTACAGGGTTCTGGGGCAGTTTTTGAAGGGCCCTATGGGTATCAGGGCCTTATAACATGTACACCTAGGCGGGCGGCAGGGCTCCTGGATGGCTCCGTAACGAGCCAGCAGTCCTCCGATGACCCGACCCGACACGACCTGGACCCAGACCCGCCTTCCCACTGCGGCATGTTCTGGTGGCCGAGGGGTTACGTGAGGTGCCCGCACGGCGGGGTCTTAAGGGGCAGCCGTACCTACCCCACTCGGTACGGCTGTACCTGGTGCCCTAGTGCCGTACCTCGTGTTTAACTCGGTTTCGGGGCTTCTCCTCCTCCACCGAGTCGTCGATGTAAATGTAGCTGTCGCCGTGGGGCCATACCAGCAGCGCATAAGCGGGGAGTTGGGTTGGGTTGGGTTGGGTTGGGTTGGTTGAGCTTAGCTATGCTTAGCGTTCGCTCGTTCCCCAGCAAGCAGCCAGAACACACCATATGGGCAGATCCTCATCAGTTTGGGCTCCTCCTCAGGCCAATGGGCTCCGAAACCCCTTCCCCCCGCAACCTTCTCGGAGCCTTGTGGGCCTCTGTTTTTGCTCCGAAACCCGGACAGATCATAGCCTCCGAAACCCAATCCTTAGGGCTCCGAAGAAGAAGTATCCCTTGCGGTCCTCTTGGGAACTAAATAAAAACTTGCCTTATGTCCTCTGAGGTGACGGAGTGGTGGATCACCAACGCGGTCAGCAAGCTGTAGTGGTAGCGGAGCACCAACAGCGCCAACTGCATGGGGGAGATGCGGAACAGTTACGAGTGCCTGTTTGCGTTGCTTGTATGTTACGTTCTCCCGCACAGCGGTTGGGAGGTGGTTGGGGCGGAGTTTATGAACCTACGTAAAATGCGTATTTAACTAAAACAACAACAGCACTCCACACGTGGCGAGGAACAATGGACGGCGCTCCACTTTAATTGGCGTCAAGATATTGGACGTAAATCAACGTGCTGTGCACAGCTCATTTGCAGGTCTCAGCTATTTCCTGCACAAGTGCACTTCCAAGGAGCTTACGTCCTCCACAAGCTTCACAGCTTCCGCCTCCTCAGAGGACTGCTCCGCGTCCGAGCCATGGAATAAGAGCTCCAGCTTTGCGGAGCGCCGGTCCTTTTGCCGCGTGTCCAGCCAAGCCATGTTGACCACAAACTGGCCAAACAGCAGCAGCTGCGGCACAATACAAGAAAGGGAAAAAGGCCGAAGGCTCAGCATGGGTACAAATCATACTTAGGGTTTTACGCAACGATCGAAACTGGATGCAGAAATCATAGACAGGTTAGTATCAGAAGACCTTTGGATACATTTGGTAACACGTATTCCGAGCTTGTGTCCTTCTAGGCTGTTTTTGCTCCGACGGGCGTTTCCCGCTCGTGGGCTGGATAGGTTGTGGCCCGCGGCAGAAGAAAGCAGAATAATATGTAATCGATTCCTACTTGATCCGGCCGAGGCACTTCCGCAGCAGCAAAACAAGGTGTAGGTTTTACAAGCGAAGGATTTCTGGGAACTTGACAGCAGGATTTCCGGGAATTTGTTGCCCTGCTTCTTGCGCGCGTTCTCAAATAATTTCGGGGTCTGTCAGCTAGCACCGACACCACTGCGATGTGGGCTCTTGGCAATACCGTCTGCTGGCCATGCTTGGGTGGATCAGGCTCAGCCTCCCTCCCCCGCGTTATCACTATCTTGCTGCTTGCAGGCCATCATGTTACCAACAGAATCTAACAGTGCGACTCGGAGTTCAGTATACTCCGCTCCCCTGAGCTCAGCGGCAACCATACACAAAAAAGCTAAGGCGTTGTTAGTCTCAACAGTTTGCATGGAATTTCAAAGACAAGGAGTCGACTACATCCTCGCGCACCTCGGTGATGTTCCAATTCTGAATGTCAGCGGTGCCCAGGAAGCGCAGCTGCAGGACTTTAATCAAGACCCCGAAAAGCGCAGCGGCAGCCAATAACAGCACCAAAGACCACTGAAGCAGCGTGCACAGTACCAGGCGCCCGTAGAAGCAGCAACAGCAACAAAGATCCAGGCAGTACCTGTGTGCACAGGCGGTGAGGCCGCGGAGTCAGGTCGAGGAATCGGTGCCGTTATTGGCTATGGTAAGAAGGACACCCGATTGGGCTTAGCTTGACTTGACTTGCGTCTGCCTACGGGGGTCCTTAACGGTCTTGGCGAAAAAAGAAAGAGCGAGCTTTGCTGCCGGGTAAGCAAGAGCTGAAGAGCTGAATGCCAGGTGTTTTTTTTATTACGCACCTATCGGGGACTTGAGGCTCCTAACGGTTAACGGTTCACGGAACCTAAGGAGGTCCGATGGGAACGCAGTAGGAGTGCTGCCGTCGTGACGCCTCCTGTTCTGTTTTGTTTATTATCTGTTATTCTTCAGCGAGACGCGCAAGGGCATTCAGTCTGAACCTAGATGCCTCGCTGAAAGCAGACGGGTCACACCTCCTCAGGGGCATTTTCCTACACACCGGCGGACCCCCTAAGTGGTGGAGGGGTTGAGGGTCGCGGGCCTATTGCTCATGTGCCGGGTGTCGAGGGCTCGGCGCTCCCGTACTTACTGATCTCTGTGCACTCGCGTGCCGTACGATCCGTACACTCGCCGACGTGCCTTGCCCAGTGCCGCCGCCACTGATGGCGGACTGACGTATCGCAACAGCAGCAGCAGGTTGAAGTCGAGCAGCATCAAGGAATTGTACCAGTTCCGTGCAGCTGTCGACACCTTCATATGTATATAATAGGTCATTAAGCAGTTCAGGAAGAGTCCAGGATTGGTTTAAGGATGGCGTTGACGAAAGACTAAGAATGAAAGCATTGTTTCGAGCTAAGCGCTATGCTGGTGGCGATGGCGGTGGCGGTGGCGGTGGCGGTGGCAGCACCGACCGGAAATTGGGAGTAGCGAGTGACACCAGCCGACAGGTACGGCACTACGCTGGCAGGTACGTTATCGGTCAACGTGCACAGCGCTAGGAGGACTCCCGGCCTCACCTCAAGGTTGTTCTTGTACAGGTTGTCTGGTTTGCTGTTCAGTTCTCTCAAGACTGCCCACAGCAGCACCAGGAGGCGCCAGATCGCCCAAAGCAGGTAACAGCAAATGATAATGAACTCAGCCCAGACAACGACTCGAGTCGGTATCTCGTACTTCCATCCGCTTGATTTGTTGCTCTTGTAGGTAATGAACGCGAAGAAAATGGCTGTGCAATTGACGCCCATGAGCAGCAATCGGAGCAGAAATCCTAGGTATGCCCAAAGCGACACGCCCAACTGGACGTACTTCTGAAGCACGCCATCTATGTCCCTTATTCGGCGAGCCTGTGCGGATCGGAGCGAAGTGGTTGTGACTTGTAAGAGTTCCGACTTCGACAGCCTGTTGGATTCCTTTCATCATGTCTCACCTGGTTAGGCTGTCCCAAAAGATAAGGGCCTACGCACTCAATATTCTTTCGCACATATCTGTCTCGTAGAACAACCTGGTAGGGTGGCTCAGAATGGCACGTCGGACAAACTGGCATTCCGAATCGGATTACCGGATGGCTGATATATTGGGTAGAAGCAAAAAGCAATTTGTAAATAAGTAATTTGTTAAAATTGTATCCAGAGGAGCTCGCCAAGCTTGCTTGGCGTTTCCTGTGTCAAGTGGGCTTTAACCGAGCAAAAGCTGTGTTGCTTCAATTGTTCTTGTACATTGTAAGTTGTAGGTGATGTTGATGCCGTCAGTATGATTTGATTTTGCTCAGGTGGGCCCATCGTCACAAAGCCAGAGCCATGTTTGCACCCAACGTCACGTACGGCAAGTAAGAAGTGCTCGCTATCCTCCTTTACTGGTAAGCTGTATTAGCGAGAGCCATCTAATTCCAAAACCCACTAAGAATCTGCTCTTGTTTACGCAATTAGGCATCCAAGACCGCTGTTAGATGTAGTACGACGATGTTGGCTGCTATGGTGGGCATACATGAATGATAACTTTATACGATAGTGGATGGAATCATACGAGGCTCACGGTTTCAAGCTTTCATGGACATACACTGTTTGGCCGCATGGAAACTCGTAGTAACCGTTACGACGTGGCTGTTGCTATATCTAAAGGCTGCCATACATGCGTTATGCCTGCCTAAATTGATGACCAGCCACTTAGCATTAAGTATCGACATATTTGGGCCGCTGAAGCATCGATGCGCGATACAAGTTACAGCCATGCTGCTGCTAGAGCACACCGATTTCGTGCAAATTTGAGCTTATTTCAGGTTGTAAGCTTTGATTATATTATATGTGCCTTACAACCTGTCGCTACATGCGCAGGGATGCAGTCCTCGCCTGTCGGCACCCTACGATGTCGCCCTTCGTTGGGAAAGATAGGATATTGCATTAAATTATGGATGTTGTAGCCTTTGGAAGATTATCTATAGATAACGCGGCCTAACTGCAAAAAGAAACACACATACAAAAAAATATTCCATGCGCAGCGTGCACCGGCTGCGTCCGGTGGAATTCTGCAAGGGGATACCGCTTTATTGTGTTAAAGACGCAGTCTTCCAAAATCATCATTCCTAATCCGAGGCGGGTGCATTTGCGTGCGTGGCACGGGGTTCCATGTTGCCGATCACACGCTGACCCCGCGAAGGCGACAGCTGGCAAAGGCCAAGGACAATGGGCCACTGCGTTCTAGTTTTCGCGTTCATTAATAGAAGTTTTTGAGGTGGCTACGGGCGGTAAGGGTTTGGTTCCCCGTCCTTCCCCATTCCTTTGTCGGGTTTTTCTTTGCGTATCCCGGCATTGAGGGGACGGGGACGATGAGTTAATAGGCCATGAGTTGCATCTGGGTACGGCAATGATGACGTACGCGTGTGCGGTGATGTTACTGGCGTGCTGATGCGAGACTGAACAGATGGGCCTTTCTTTCTTTATGGATCATGGGCCTAACTACATCACATGTGCAGCAAAGAGGCCTACCGATGGCGACTTCTACTATTGTGATGTTTTGTCGCCGCCGCCGTCCTTTCCGCTCTAACGGTCGGTCAGGTCATCAGCAGTAGCAGTAGCAGTAGCAGTAGCAGTAGCAGTAGTCCATGGGGCCCCCGGGCTTTGACGGACACCCCTGCGATTGTGCGGAACCTGTAAAACTTGTAATAACAGTCCCACCGTTCCCCCTTGCTGATATCCTCCGCTTGAGGGTATATGCAAGGGAACCGGTGGGACTGTCACTACAAAGGAATGAAGTAGAGACAGTCCCGCCGGTTCCCTTGCATATAGAAGGGAACAAAGGAATAAAGTAGGAGGAATACACGTAAATAAGCTGCTGCGCTCGTCCTAAGTGTTCTTTATCCCTAATGTATATGAGCTCCCTGTGCAACAAACTTTGGAATGCATACAGCTGCAACGTGGACTGTAGAGGTTGGAGGTTGACGGTTAAGGTATAAATACGGGAAGTACGGAAAACAAAGAGTCAGCGGCGTCCGTTGCAAAGTGCAAAGTGCACGGCCGCAGCAGAGGCAGTTGGGGGGCATCCGTGTGATGTGAATGATGCTTGAAATAATATCGCTGTACGCTCATCGGCATTCGAGTTGCGAAATTTCGTTACAAGCTTTTCCCAAAAGCTTGTAGACCCAGAGGTTGATGAGCCGTACGCTGAACACAGACCGAATTTCGCTCGCGCCGTACCTTCGTACTAATGTACGCCAAGCCGACATCATAAGCCTCGATACAGCAATCAAGTATTTGGTACACATAGACTAGCACGGCACCAGATTTACCGCTGCCATGGCATCATCCTATTAATGCATGCAAATATGAGAATATGAGAAGTCGAGCTAACAATGCCATCCTAATCGGAAAATGTGGATGGACTAGCGTGCGAGAGAGGGGGGCTTAGTCTCTGATGAATAGGGGTAAGAACGGCAGCGCCCCCAACGGCACAGTCCGTGAGCCACATGTCGGGGGCCTAGGAGGCCGAGAGGCCGAGAGGCCGAGACCAAAAATGCCTTCGCGCCCTGACACAAACACCCAACCGAGCAAGCGTATGTCCAAAAAAAAGCTTATACTGCAAAGCCTACGCAACGGAAACGGACACATATTCACCCGCATCCAAGCCGTCGAGCGAGAGGAGGCAGTGTACGGCGTCCGTACGGTGACGAAAAACTCCAGATCCAGGAGATCCACAATAAAGAGCTCGGGATCCAGGTAGAGTGGAGAGGTTTAAAACCCGCCAATAGACAAGTAGACCTGAAGTAATCGCGCATGCACTATGATGAATACACAAACTATGGGTTTCGGTGTTTCACCCCGAAAGGGGGAAGATCGTTTTGCAACGGCCCGACCCGCCGCCATCGCTGCAACCATCCATATATAGCATTCAAGAAGCCCGCTGCCGATGCTGCTGCATAGCTCATTTCGCACACAGAGCACACATTTATCTAATACATATAAACACGTAACCTCTTTCACGAAAAGTCTAAGGAAATGTCTGTATACGGCAGTTTACGCTCTCAGTACGTACTGCCGTCGGCAACCACCCTCAACCGCCAACGACCGCTGTATGTAAGTACCGAATCAGCACCGCCCGCCACTGAAAGTCCGTTCGAGTGACTTCACCAGCTGTCATATCCGGTCACAGGGCAGCCAACCAACCAACCAACCAACCAACCAACATACATACATACATACGTACCTGCTTATTGCCATACTACAAACATGTCCTCTTCCCCCTTCGGGCTGTCTTACTGGCCCCCTCACCCTCTGACGCTCCCACCGTCGTTGGCCACTCAAATCGCCCCCGGGTTGAGACACCCCGGTCGGCATCCCCGTTACCGTGCTTTACCCCACAAAACATTTCAACTCTCCCCCTCAGGCCCCCCATATGCAAGTAGTAACACATTATTATATCATAAATTATATATGGGGGTGCGTTATCCGTTGTAGCCATAGCCACCACGTCGGTGCCCCCCAGCCCCAGTGGGGAGCTTGTCCAACAGACATACATCCCGCAGCCAGACCGCCTGACCGCCGGCTGGGTCAAAACGCTAAAGGTAAGATTGTCGGCCCTTTATATTGTTCTGAAACCCACATATATCGTCACATGCCGCCGCCGCGAAACAACACATCATTGTGGGCCTCCCATAACACCAACCACACACAGACACACACATGCCGCGTTTAACATCACATCAGCATTCGCACAGCACCCCTCACAGCGTACCTGCGCTCGCCGCGCCGGAATACACGACGTTACTGTACATGGCTGTACATGGTTTGACGCGGGCGATGTTAGAGAGACAGCAATACAGCACATACGTACAAAAACATGCATATTGCCATAAGGCGCGCTCCCTCCTAGCTCTCATATATAAACATGTTTTCCTTAAAAAAAACACATACGCACATACATATGCACATACATATGCACATACATATGCACATACATACGCACATACATATGCACATACATACGCACATACATATGCACATACATACGCACATACATACGCACATACATCTTCATTGCTGTGCATATGCACGCACACATGCACGTGCGCACACACGCGCAAAGACAGACAGACAGACAAACAGACAGACACGTCGGATCATTTTGTCCTTGGACGCCGATCCGATGGTTACGGTCCAATAATCGAAACGCTCAGATGAAGGCGATGATGAATAGAACACGGAGGTTATGCGTGTATGTGTGCATGCGTGTGTGTAATCTATTTGTTGAGGAGGGGGGGAGATGAAGGGAAAGAGGACCTCACAGGCCCTGCGCCGTGAGACCCGCCTGTTGGGCCCTCAGCCCTGAGCAGGGTGCCGGCGAGGATCGCTCCGTCAGGAGAGGAAAGGAAACCGGCTGTCGGCGCCCACCAACCACATGTCGAACCCTGGCCGCTCCGCGTCTTTTTTATTGTATTTTTTACGTGTTGGTGGTGGTGGTGGTGGTCATGTTGAAAAGTCGTCATCAAAAAGCCATATCTCTAGCTTTGCGGGGAGCCGCGTCTGCTCCGGGCAGCTGGTCATCGTGCCCCTGCACCTCGTCCTCCTCCCCCTCCCACATGCGAAAACGGTACAAGCGGTTAAACAACCGCGAGGGGAGGAGAACATGCAAAGCGATGTGCATAATATCACTGACGTCATCATCGCCGACGCATGATCGTCACCAGCATCATCGGCTCATCGGCTTGACACCTCACGTCTCCGGTTCTGTCGTACTGGGACGCCGAGAGGGCGGGGCCAACCCGGCATCAGTGTGCCCGCTACTGCGTGCGTCAGTGCTGCCGGCAGGAAAAGGCGACAGACAAACAGACAGACAGACAAGACAGGCAAAAGCGACCCATTTTTAACCGCTGAACCTCTCTCCTCTCTCTCTCTCTCCCTCTAAATTTTCAAAAGCAGCCAGCTATCCTGCGCGCAGCTGGCTGCTTTGTGGGTGTTGAGGCGACTCCACCGCGCACCATAAACAGCCCCGCCTGGTTTTTCGGCACCAGCGACCGAGCCAAGGCAAGCATCTCTTCCTCCGCTTCCACGTCCGCTGCCGCCATCGCCAGGCCGGCGTCGACGCTGTAGCTGCCAGCGCCGCCGGCGCTGCCGCCGTCACGCGTAGGGCCGCGGCCGCGGAGGCCCCCTGCGAAGCCGCTGCCGCCGCCGCCGCCGCCACCAATGGTGCCGCTGGTGCCGGCACCGGCGCCGCCGCCACGGAAGGGGCCCCCGTTCATCCACACGTTGTCGAGGCTAGAAATGCGTGGCGTCACGCCGCCCGTGTAACTGTTCCGAGAGTTACGGCTGTACAGGCCGGGAGACGACGGCACCGACGACGGCGTGGCGGCGACGGCGGCGGCGGCGACTTCCAACGCGTCCAATGCCTGCAGGGCCGGCACCCTCGGCCCCGGTTGCGCCTGCGGCGGCGCCGTCGCCGTCAGAGCCCCCACCGCGAGAGCCTGGGCTGCGACAGCAGCCAGGCCGCCATCCATGTCAGTACGACGCCGTACACCCGTCCCAACCCCGCTGTGTGCCGTACCCCGGGACACGCGCAATGACGGCGTTGCGGAGTTGGCTGCGGCTGAAGCTGCATTGGGACTCAGCGTGACGCCGCCGCCGCCGCCGCTACCGCCGCTACCGATGCCGACGGTGCCGTACCCAGAATCTAGCAGTGAAATCGGGGCCGCCGCCGGCAGGCCGCCCAGACCGCCGCAGTGGGAGCGGCGGCAGGTAGGGGTCAACGCATTCGGGGAGCGGAAGGCCGTCGTGAGTCCGGCAGCGCGCATTGAATCAAAGTCCGTGCTTGCAGCAGGGCTGGCGCCGCAGCTGTTGCCGCCGGCTGCGCCGCCACCGCCAACGTTGAGCGGCGCCAGACCGCGCGGCGTCGATACCCCGGCGCTGGGCCCTGGCGACGCCAGCGCCGGAAGCGTCGCCACGGAAGATCCGCTTCCGCCGCCGCCGCCGCCGCCGCCGCCGCCGCTCGTGGAGATGCCATTCAAGGCAGCAGAACCATGCCGCTCGAGGCTCAACCCGCCGCCCTGTCCGTACGACATATCGCCGCTCGCGAGGAGAGGGTCCAGACCCACCTCCAGTAACGCCTGCTGTGCTGGCGACAAGCCCAACCAATCCATCCCATTTGCGCCGCTGACGCCGCCAACGCCGCCACCGCCGCCGACGCCATTAGCGGTGGCCCCAGTTGCGGAAGAAGCCGCGGCGGCGGCGGCGGCGGCGGCGGAGTCCTTTAATGCACGAAGGCTGCCAGAGGACGGCCGCCGCAGCGGCGGCACCCCGATGGCGCCGCCGACGCTGCCGCCAACGCTTGCGAGGGCCGATCCAGAAGTGAAGCTCCCCGTCAGCGTCATGGCGGTTGAGAGCGTCATGCTGCCGGCGGAGTCCAATAGTGACAGGCCGCCGCCGCCACCAGCGCCGGCCCCGCGAGGAAGGCTACTGCTAGGAGGCATCAGCGGCGTCAGCACCGGAGTAGACATTTCCGTACCGCCAGCGGTCCCGCCGCCACCGCCAGCGCCGCCAGCGGCAGCTCCGGTGGCGCCCGTCGGGCCGTCCAGGAAGTCCCATTTGCTATTGGGACGAGAAAGGATGCCGATGACGCCGCCGGTGCCGCCACTCGGTGAGGCAACGGACGTCGGAGTGCCGGCGGCCGCCGCCGCCCCTGTCGCCGCCGCCGCCCCCGCTGCTGGGTGGCTTGGATTGGGCGAACATTGCTGCAGGCTTTCCACAGACTTGCGCCGGGAAATGGGGTAGTGTGAGCTGGCGGATACGACGCCGCCAGATTCACTGACGCCGCTGCCGCCGGCGGTGGCATGCAAGCCAGAGCCGGTGACGTCTCCAGATGCGGCGCGACGGGGAAAGCTACCGATGCGAGGCGCCGAAGGGCCGCTGCCGACCCCGCCGCCGCCCGCTTCCGCCGGCCGGCGCGGCGAGGGATGAGCGGGCGGCTGCGGTTGGGGCTGTGCCGCGCCGCCGGCAGGCACCGTCCCCGCCGCCGTCGCAAAAACCGCCGGCGTCGTCGGCGGTGCTGCCGCCGCGCGGTACGCCGCCTCCACCCGCCGCGCCAACCATGCACGGCGCTCCGCTGCGAACCGAATCAGCTCACCTCGCACCAAGTCAAACTCCGCCATGTACAACACGCTACGTGGCATGACCAGCAGCACGCTCGCGCGCGACGCCAGCACCGTCGTCGGCCACTTCGGACCTTCCACCACCACCGCCGGCGGCACTACCGTCAACGGCGACGGATGGCTATCCGTTACCGTATGTCCTTGTACGGCAGCGTGTGCGGAGACCTGACGATGCCCCTGGCCGTGGTGAGAGGGGTCCGCATGGCCGTTGGCGGATGGCGGCGCGCTGGAGGGGATGGCGCCGCCGCCGCCGCGACCTCCCAAAACCGCCTCACCCAAAATGCCGCCCACAGACACCTCCCCGAGTGGCAATCCCTGGAGCGACACCTCCACGGGAGTGGAGGAGCTGCTCGTAAAGGAGCCGCCGGAGGCGGAGGGCGCCGTCGGCACGGCGGCGGCTCCGCCGCCACCGCCGCTGCCGGCGGCCGCCGCGGCGGCCGTAGCGCTGCCGCTGCCGCCCAACCCGGGCAGCGCCCCCGGGGCTGTAGCGCTGAGCGTGGCTAGCAGCGGCAGTAGCTGTGTACGGCCATTACGGCTGCCGCTGACCGCCAGACCGCGGAAGGTGGAGATGCGGGTATGGAGGGCGGCGCTGGGCTCATGAAGAAGAGTCACCTCGCCGTCCTGTATATACGTATGTATGTGCGTATGTGGCAAACGTTCGCATCATCGTCAACCAGCAACAACAATCAGCGCCGGCGGCGGCGGCGGCGGTCCGGAATTATAAGAGCAGGAGATCCCGCAACAACGAGCAAGGGAGAAATGCGTCCAATCACCCCAGAGCCCCCCCCCAGCCCCATCAGCTATCCCCCCACCTGCACCACCGCCAAGCACTCCAGGGGGCCCCCCTGACGGGCCAGCAGCGTCCCCGCGTCCACAGTGAGGCAAAGACACAGCTCCGCCAGCTGACTGAGCCTCTCCTTGGGGAGGGAGGAGAAGAAGCCCGCGGCACGGGCCAGCACTGCCGCACGAGCCGCCAACACGCCCTGCTGGTAGGCCTCCCAGTCCACCAGCAGCAGCTCACAGCCGCCGGGACCTGGATCCAGAACCCGGCATTCAAGCGAACATTTTGTGGCTTTAGGCTTTAGGAAGTCCGGTGGGAGAATTGGCCACCTGAAGCAATTTGGAAGGTTATTCATATGAGCTTTTAGACAGTCGTCTGCACAGTTTTTGAAGGAAAAAAATGCACCGGCACATTCTCCCGAATCAAATACGGGTCTTTGAACTCAAGCGTAACGTGAGGATTCAAATTCAGAGCAGAGGCGATCCCAGGAGAGCGGAGGACCCAGCAGCAGCCTTGTGCGTCTTCTTCAACGGGGTCTAAAATTTTGAGTCCCGCTAGTTAGTTCCTCCCGCTAGTTAGGGCGGGGGGTCCCAGTTCCCAACCCATACTCCTGAAAACACTTCTCCCCCCTCCCCCCGGGCTTCTCCCGCCTTCCCTCGCCAAACAAAGGAACCTCTGATGCCCACTAACAGTTATTACCAGCGGATTACGTATTACAGTCCCTCGATTCCTCACCCGCCACCGCGCTCTCCTTGCGCATGGACGAGTGGAGCATCACGGTGGACAGCTCCCCCACAGGTGACCCACGGGTCAGTGTGGCGAATTGCGGGCCGTACATTTCCTCCATTTCCTCAGCGTCGAAGCCGCCGCGCCCTCGGGACCGCGCGTGGCGCTCGCGGTTGATGCGGGAGGCACGCATTGCCATGCTCCTGTAGCAGCACACAGCACACCACACAACACAAGCGAGGAGGGGATGGGGATAGGTACGCGGGGATCGAAGGGGAAGAAGAAGGATCATACACATCCCCACCCCGCCCACCTGCTAAACTTCCCAAGGTGTCGGGCTATGCGCTGTCCAAACTCACAGCCTTCACTCGGCCAATGCATCGTCCCAACCTCCCCCTTACAGACGCGGAAAAAACACATCATCATCGCACATCTCCCTCACTCGGGGCCTCCCCCCCGGCACTCCCGCACCTGAGGTTGCGCTGCTTCTCCGTCTCCGGTCCATCCACGGAGAACATCCACCGCCGCCACCGCTCCCGCGCCGCGGCGTCGTTGTTGCCGCCGCCAGGCTCCCCGAGCTTGGCTGGGCCGCTGCTGCCGCTGCCCCCTGACGGGGAGGGCAATGGCGATTCCGAATCTTCCGAATAGCCCTGCGTCTGCAGTCCCCGGTAGTACGCCTTGGCGGCCGCAGGGCCGAGAAGCTGCGCCACCTCTGAGTTACGACGGGGAGTAGTTAGCGGTTGAAGAGTTGGTTCGTTGATGGTCAGCCAATACCGCACGTAGGATTCGTGGCGTTAGGAGTAATTAATATGAATGTCAGGATTAGCGTTATGAAGGATGTCAGAGGGTTTGTGCTAGGACGGACGACGTAACGCTCGCGCGTTAGCGTCGTTATGATGGTAATTAATGGTGGGTAGCGTGGGAGTTACGACGAGCTGTTTAATGAGTCCAAAACAGCTTTTAGAACTAGCAGTACCTTAGAACGAGGACAGGGCTAACACACAGTATACAGCTCTAGCGACACAGCTAGAAGCATCGCGTTCAGCAACAATGGTGGGCGTTACTACGTGCGATAGATTTCTCATAAACATTATTACGAGTATTGAGAAGATTAACAAACATTAAGAAGAACTTCGCGCGCAGCGAGCGGGTGGCACCAGCTCAGGGCCAACCCTGGAAACGAAACGGAAGTTCGACCGAACTCTAGGATGAGCGACGTAAAAGATGGATAGAAAAGGAAGTTGAAATCGAGAGCTAAGGAAGGCAGATAGAGAAGGAACGCGAGCAGGAGCATTGGAAATGTTAAAAAGAGGAGAATTGGAAACCATAATAAAAAAAGCATTAAAGAACATACATGTAGGACCGCATGAAAACGAGCATTATCAATTCAGCAACGAAAACTCGCTGACACGGATAACCAGCTTAAAAAGGCAGGTCTCAAGGATAGGTCAATCGATTTTCAGCGGTGAAATTATTTTCAGCAGTGACAATAGACTGCTGCCGGAACGGAGGAACACTAAAGCAGGGAACGTTCCGGCCTTCACAACAGATGGATCAACCGATTGAGCTACCGAGATATCACCCACCCGTAATGGGCCCTTCGCTGCCGTCCAGGGGAATGTCGAATGCGTTGTCCCCGGCCGCCTGCCGCCTCCGGGGGGCCTTATCTGCGGGGTGCAACGCTTTCCATACGGGCTCCACTGTCCGCATCGCCTGCGGGGGAGCGCGTGAGGGGGAAGGTGGGCACCGCGGCAGGCAGGCAGTGCAGGCCTAGGTTCCTAGGTAGGACAATGAAGGAGGGGGGCATGGCCGGGCGCCAGCGTAGGCCAGGCGGGGGGGGGTTGACTGTATGGGTGTAAGCCTAATGCATGGGAGCCATGCACCTAAAACCCAAGTGTAGCCAGGTCAAACGCCTGGAGGGAAGGGGGGAGGGAAGGAGGGTATGCGTATGGAAAAACACGCTGGCGCCCTCAAGACGAGGACGAGTGGGATGGGCGCAAAATGTAAAACACCGATCCAGACGGAGGGAGATCGCAAGAACAGATTAGGAAGGGCAAGAGGAACGGAAGGAGGGCGGTATGCGCGAGATATGAGCTGGGAGGACGCGGGCGCGGGGCAGGGGGGGGCAGCATGGCCCTCAGCTGGAGTGTGCGTGAAGAACAGTGGGCGTGTGTCGTCGTGCCACGCCACGCGCCACGCGCCCACAAACCCACAAGCCGCCCTCCAGAAGCCACAGCTTTACTCACCTTTTGCATGAACACCCGGGTCCAATCAACGGGGCTCGCACTCGCAGGGTCCTTTATTGTCCCCGAGGCACGTTTGCCGTCCTCTCCACCGCTACTGCCGCTACCGCCCGCCCCTGACGAGGCGGCGGAGAAGGCCGCCGTGTCCGCATCAAGACGGGACACGTACTCGTCCAGCTGCTTCTGCATCAGCTTGCGAGCTGCAGGGGGAAACGACATACATACACATGTACAGACAAACACGCTGACTTGAAACCAAGAGGAAAACATATTCGGATTGGAGGATACGACGTTGCCTGTTTGCACGCATGCCTTACAAACACAACAAAACCCAAAACCCCAATCTTGAGCTTGCGGGTACATACATATCGGAGCACTTGGTGCCTTCCATCTTCCTTCCCCCTCCCCTAGGAGCCGTCTCCATCCACCATCCACCATCCCCTCTCCCCCCCACACGCACATACAGACACCGACTCACCTTCCCGCTCCCTCCTCAGCCTCGCCCGGATGTTCAACCGGCCTCCCGACCCCTCCCCAGAGCCCTCCTGTGCCTGGGACGTCGACCCTGCCGCCGCTCCAGCCGCCGCCGTTCCCGGCTTCTGCCCCGGTGGCGGCGCCGGCCGCATCGGCCCGGCGCTGGTGCCGGCAGCTCCCCCTGCCGGCACGGCAGCGGAGCTGGCGGCTGCGGAGGCTGCACCGCCACCAGCCCCGCCGCTTCCCTCTCCCTCCCCTTCCTCACCCAGCGCTCCCGGCGCACCCCCGAACTTCCGCAGCTGAACCTCCCCGGACAGAACCGTCACGTGGGCATCCGCCAGGGTGCTGTGTTCGTACACTAAGCTGCCCGGCGGCAGGCTGAGGGAGCGGCAGGCCGCCGCCAGACAGGCCACGACCTCCTGAGGGTAGGTGCGGTAGGCAGGCAGGGAGGCGAAGAAGGGCTCCAGCTCCGAAGCCTCTTCCGGTGTGCGCTCATCCGAAGGCCGCGCGGAGGCGAGACGACGGAGACAGCAACAGAGAAGAGCCATATTGGCGGCCCGGCGCTGAGCTACGGTCTGCGCGAGTGAGCCATGTGCGTGGGCGGGTGCGTCGGCAGGGGCAGCCGAAAGGGGCAGGAAAGTTATGTGCAAAAGTCGCAAGAACGGCTGCCGACATCCAAACCAACACCTGCCGGCAGAGAAACCGTTTCTTGGGGAGGAGGGGGGAACCGCCGGCCCCTTTAGTCCCAACCCCTAAAGCCTACCTATACCATTACCCCAGCCCACGCTAATTGAGAAAACCCGATTTGGGTTTTGGGTCGATCACGATCCACGCAGCAATCATGCGGCTAAGTCCTAACCCGCACCCTACTCCTTACTCCCCATCAACCAATGAATTAGCTCGTCCGTCAGTATGTCGGTCTGTCAGTCTGTCAGTCCCGCCGCCGCAGCGGGATGCTACTCACGAGTTCCGCTGGGGGCGCCTGTGTGCCCTCCGGGGGTAGCAGCTGTAGCGGATTGCGCAAGTCGTTCATCGCGTCGTAGTCGCTGTAGCGCAGCCGCAACGTCATGCAGCCCTGGGATTGCCCGAATTGCGGCGGCCAAGAGGCGGCGGAGAGGGAGGAAATCATTTGCTTGTAACAAGAGTAAGTAAGCGAATGGCCAACTACCGGCGGAAGGTGGGGAGGTGTAAGGCAGCAGGGGCCAGCTGCTGTGGCGGGGTCGTGGCGGACGGTACGCGGGCTCGGTATGGGTTTCAGGGCTAAGGGCTAAGTTTAGCAGGTAGCAGGTTGGCCAAGCTAGGATATGCCGTAATGGGATTTCGCCCGGCACCCCCCACCCCCCACATCCCGGGGCATTCATCCCACATTGCGCCGAGGGGTGACATGATCGTGCTCAGGGAAAGCCTGACCCACATTCCACTTCATCCTCGTCCCATACCACACGTTCGGCTGTTCAGCTGTTCAGCTCCCACGCCTCGTAAAGCCCGTTCCTGACACTGTCCCCGAGGCCCTCCCTTGCTCCCTCCCCCCTATCCCCCTACATCTACATCTACCCCTACCTCGTGAGGCCCGCTCTCTTCCTCCCTCATGCTGTACCCAAATAGGTCAATTTTTTTCATTTCTGTCACTTCCCTCGATGGCCCCCTTCGACCCCACCTGAGGCCCCGCCACCACCGTAACGCTGCTTCTCCGCGGGTGGGTCGAGTGCAGCAGAGCCGCCTCGCTCCAGCTGTCGTTGGGGCCCAGTGGCGAGGCGACCTGCTCGGAGCCGCGCTGGGCCGAGTAGCGGGTGAGCAGGGCGCTGCCGTGCAGCAGCAGGCACCACTGCTCCAGGGGCTGGCCCTTGCTGAGCACACACTCGCCGGCCTCGGAGTGCTTGGCCTCTGGGGGAGTGGGGGGAAATGATTAGCAGGGTCACGTGCGATATTAAAAGGGTTTGGGTGTGCTGCGGCTGTGGCGATTTCATTGGGAAGAGGAGTTACGCGGGCCGTTTTTTGTGTTACGATCATGACCCTGGCAGAAGGGGGGACATGCCCGTGCTGCCGCAGACGGTTGCAGTTGCAGCGGCAGGTGCTTACCCATGAAATAAGCGATTGGAAGTAGGTCATCTCGATCAACTCCTTCAAAAACCGCCTGCGGATCAGGGTTTTCCGGTCGGTAGGTAGAGGCATAGACATGGAAAGGCGCATCTCGGTCGGTGCGGCAGAGGCGGCAGTTGCACAAAACGGTGCGGAAAGAATTGTCATGCATACTGTGATAAAACGCTTCTCATGCAGAGCTCAAGGTAGCCTTAGCTTCAGCAGACGCGAAGCTCACATGAACCCTGAAACCTTGTTCCAGACAGCAGCAAGACTTATGTACAATGCCCCCAAGAACTCACCAGGTGCGTCAGCATATCCGCAATATAAGTTATCTGCTCGAGCGTCCTGCACCGTGGTCTGCGAGCCGTCGCAAAAGCGAACATGCGGAGTAGTCACCGCGCAAGTAGAACTAAGCCACCACGGCCCTGTGCCGCGGGGCATGCAGCGATGTATACATACTTTGAACACGCCAATGCGCGCTGCGCCAGAGACCATGTTGACGACCCCGGCTTATCTTGAGGCATCGCCGGACAACGGAAGCAAAAGCCTCCAGGGTATCTTCCCCTATGACTTGTTATATGCTATGGAGAAAACTTATGCTTAAGCCTGTGCGCGTCGGTGAAACGACACTCTTCATTCTAGCTTCTGTTCAGCGCACGGATCACAGGTGTCATAATATTTGTAGTAGTTGAAGCAATCTGTACACTTACATTATATATGTACTGATCAATCTACAGCTCTTACGCGTGAGATAGATATACGGACGAACGTCCATCCGGTATAATACTCACTCTCGACAGACTAATCACTTTAGTACTTCCAACTTTCGGTCCGCATGCAGGTAGAAAGCCTATGCTGTATGGTCGGCCTACTTGGAACTGCTAGTTCTAGCTGTCATTTCCAAATGTAAACCCTGCAGTCATGGCCCTATCTTGCGAGGTTAGAAAATTGGTCGCGAAATTAATGCTTATTCCGGAAATGTCCGTGCTTTTATCCTGGGCTATCATTTGGTGGTTCTGTAGGAGTCCAGAAAGGCGCTGCTTGGTGCTGTATCAAGGGCTATCGACAGCTATGAACAGGGCAAGTTAGATCCACTCCTAATATCTGCTTTGCTTGAGCAGCTCCAGGTGGTGCTGGAAGCTGTCGCGGCAGAAGCAGAACGGGACCCAAGGAGCAATTTAAACACCGGTACGCACATGCTGACCTTTGTTTCTGTAACGTCCGAAAGCATCAGGACTCACCTTGCTGTTTGCTGAAACGTTGGTCGCCGCTCCAACCTTTGTCCCCTGCCTTGCAGATTTGGGTTTAACTGAAGGCACAGCATCGGACCACGGCGAGGCAAGAGCAGCATCTTTGGTCAGCCTCTCTATCCTCTAAAACGACCTCGCACACTCCTGAATTTGGATGCAATGCCCCGCCTTCTGGTTGTCCTTTTCACTTGGCAGGCCTCGCCTGCGCAGCTAGGCCACGGCGCACGGCGCCCCTTCCTGTCTCCCCCGATCCACCTGTCATTACCACGCCTATCGCAACCGCATAACCGCACCATGCCGCAACCGGCGATCAACTCATGTGCATGGCTCTACCCGCAGCACCCCGCCCCACGCGCTACCTCCACCCCATGCCATTCCATCTGTCCTCCCCATCCGCCGTTCTTCTCTTCCCTCCACGCCCGCGCCTCCCGACCCTCGTCCCCTATGCACCATCTCGCAGGTGAGCATTTCATATGAGTAAGAAATGCACCGTATGTTGTTGTACCACCGATGCGTTGTTGGGTTCCGGCTTTCGGTCCTCAATGTGCAACCCTGGAGACGCATGCCCTAAAGATACGCACATACGCACACTCCACACCCGTTCCAAAACCCACGCTCCATTACGTTTCATGGCTCCCTTCCCCCAGACGCTCCCACACTCCTGTAAATATTTGTGTAGTTTACGACACAGGCAGTTTATCCGCCATCGACACCCTGCAGGAAGCCGGTCCTGCTTGGCCCGCTAGTGCCGGCAATGTCAACTGGGTGGCGTCTTCACAAGACTGGCCGGCGCAGCCGGGGCCAGCCCCTCAGAATCATCAACCACTGCCACTTCACCACCTTCCGAACCACCAACACAACCGCTGCGATTACCAGCAGCTGCTGCCGCAGCAGCAGACATTGCAGCCCGATGCCTTCAGTGTTGGCAAGTTGCCCGCTGTGGATGAGCGGCGCTGGCTGCAGATGGAGGCGGAGCTTGCCAAGATACAGCAAGAGTGAGCGAAATCCGGCTGGGTTGGAATGTGGGTCGGAGGGAGGGTTGGAATGTGGGTCGGTCATATGCAGGGTAGGGAGAGATTGTACGTTCATGCAGAAGTAGAAGTAAAGGAAGCAACAACTGCCGACACCAACTTGGATGAGGGATGCGGTTGTCAATGCTTGAGCACGTAGGCAGCAAGGACGTTGGGCTGCATGTACCGTGGACGCCATCACCGAAATGATGTCTGAAAAAGGCGCTACAACAGGGAGGCCTCCCGAATTCCCTGGGTGTTTCGCAATCAACCACCCGCCCAGTTAATTATTCCCCTCCAAAAAGTATCTTTACATCAGTGTTCCAATCCGCATCGCACCCGCCCAAACCATCCCTGCACCTTCCGTGTCCTCCCCCGCAGGAACATGAGCCTGCACCGGCAAGTCGCCGAGCTGCACGCCAAGGTGCTTCAGGAGCAGGAGCGGGCGGACGCCGCCGCGGAGGCTGCAGCAACTGCTGCCAGTACGGCTGCTGCTACAGCGGCACCGAGCCGTCTGAACTACGGCTCAGAGAGGCCACGGTCGCAGGTGTGTGTGTTAAAGGGGGGAGGGGGGACCCCGGGAAATTAAAAGGGAATAAGGAACTACACGACCCCAATCAAACCCCATTTCTACGTGATACCGTGGCCATTTTGCGCGAGGGCTTGTCCTTGCCTGAGTTGAATCTTGTTCCCCACTTCCACTGTCCGCCTTTGCCCCCCACAAGACGACCCCACCCACTTCCCTCGAGGGAGGGGAGGCCATGTGTGCTTTTGAACCCAAGCTAAGGGCCATAACCATGGGTGCTGCCTGTTGCATCTGCCCCTCGAAGGGGGGCTGTAACAAAGACAAAGGTACTTGGAAAAGTCGTGTAGGTATGGCCGTACAAGTAAAATGTACAACCCAGAAAGGTTCGGTGCACAGCATCTGCAGCGTTCGCCGCAACCTCCAGTAAAAATGTGGGTATGTGTTACACAGTCCCTGATCCAGTTCTCAACCACGCAACCGGTCCGGGGCTCCCTGCAGGAACGGGACATGGTGGAGCCTGGGTCCGCACAGCGAACTAGCGAGGCGGTGAAGCAGCAGCTGTTGGATAGCAGGGCTGAGCTAGCGGCGGTGGCATCCAAGGCGGGAGGTGGGCGGGCCGAAGTGGGTCTGGGGGAGGGGAGCAGCGCGGGGTCTTTGGCTTTGCATGGAATTCTAAAATCCTGGACCCCTTCCCACTGCGCCGCCGGCCCTTTCGTAAATTTGGAATGTTATCATTACGCAAGTATGTGTGTGTATGTGTGTATGTGTGTGTTAATCATCTGAGCCGCGATAAGGGAAATGCCCACAGTGGTGCAAGAATAGCTTTACCCCGGGTCTGGGGCTCGCTGTAATAACTACTACTACTACTACTACTACTACTACTACTACTACTACTACTACTACTACTACTACTATTACTACTACTACTACTACTACTACTACTACTACTACTACTACACACAACGAGGGCACCTGAGTGTGTGTGTGTGTGTGTCAATTTTACCTCATCAACCTCGACTGCTTTTGCAGCATGACCGCATTCCGCATTCACGATCATAACGCACATCCCGCTTTGTTGCTTATTTGCATCAAGAGCTGATTTACCTTCCCTACGCCCCCATGCCCTACGTCAGGGAGTAGCCGCGCGGAGACGTTGCTCATGAGTGAGCTGGAGCAGCAGCGCAATGTGCGTGATCGGGAGCGTAGGACCTAGGGGCCTAGGGGCCGGGGGGATAAAACGAGCAGGCGGGGGGGGGTAAAACCTGGACAAGGCAGGGGTTTCTGTAGAGGAGGGGAATGGATAAGCTTCCTTGTGCGTGCCAATACCCCGGGTCTCTTCTGCATTGGTCGCGCGTGTGTGAAGCCGGAGATTCACAATCCCGAGATGTCACTGTTGTCGCCGCAGCCATCTTCATTGCCATCATCGTCGTTCTCGCCTTTGGCAGCGTGTCTTAGCTGAGGTTGCCTCACTTCCCTTTGTTGCGCCACCCACACTCTGCACATGTCTTCACGTGCATCATGGCCTCATGCAGGTCGCAGTGTCTTTGCGGCGGGAGTTACAAAAGGTGGTGGCCGCCGCGGCCCGCGACAAGGAGGCCCTGTCTCAGGAGGTAAGAGCGGTTTGCGAGCTGGTCCCCAGCGTGGTAGTCCCGGTAGCGCTCCAAGCGCTGCCCAGCGCCGGCCCCTGCCGGGTTGCGGAACCCAAACTCGGAAAGCTCACCCGTGCTGTCCAATGCGTAGCAGGGACGACGTTCTTAACGGCTGCCGGGGGGGAGAGATAGACCATGCGTGTGTGTGGCGGGGAGGGTTGGTCTGAAAGGGTGTATGTGTGCATGCGTGTGTGTGTTTTGCGATACAGGTTCGTCACTGGCAGCTGGCAGCGAACCAGGCGGCCACAGTGGCAGAACGAGCCCAACAAAAGGTGGCAGCAGCCGAACAACAACTGGAAGCGCAGGCAAGTGCTTCTTCTCCTTTCATTACCTTTCCCTAGGCATGAACTCAGTCACTCTGACGTTACCTGCCTGCGTCCTTTCCCCGATCTCTTCCCACTCCTACTTCCTTTCCACTTATAACTCCATTGCCACATTTCCCCCGCTGTAAACTGCGCGTCCCTGCCAACTTTCATCCCTTAAACTTCCCCTTTTTCCACTGACTGCCCCCCACCTTCACCTGCAGGCAGACCAAGTCCGCCGCCAAGCTCGGGAGCTGGGGTCGCTGCAGCAGCAATTGGCCGCAGTGAGGACCTCCCTGGAGCAGCGGACCGCACAGCTGGAGAAACTGGATGCCGCGCTGCTGCAGCCGCTGCTGGCCTGGCACATGGAGACGGACCCGGCGGTGGGCCCGGCGTTGGTGGCAGGCATGGGCGTAGTGACCCGCGGGTCACGTGGGGGTTCGCCGGGGGGAGGGCGCACCGGTGCAGGCCTGGCGCGCGGTGGTAACGGCGGGAACACGTTGGGCAAGGTACGCGCTGGCCTGCATGGGCGCATGCTCACGGGGATATGATACGGTAAACAGTGTAGGGGGCTACGACTGCGGCTGATGGGCTGTAGCGGTGGCGTGTCGGCCTGGCTGGCGGGCTGGTGGTTATGTCACGATCCTGTGGGAAAGGACTTCGGAAAGCCCGCCGACGGCAAATCTCGCTCTTAGTGCTTCAATATCTTCCACAGGCCGAGTGGGTTCTCTTGAATTCCAGGGCTCTCTGGGTGGCATCTCTTTTGCGTATCATTCTCCTGTGGACTCGCATGTTTGTCCAACTCCGCGCGCTGTTACTTGCGTACCCTGAACACGGAACGCGGAAACGAGTGCCGGCCCTCTCCCTTCTCTCCCCTGATGCCACCCAATGCCCCTGTGCGTGCCGTGCGCCGTGTGTATGTGTGTGCGTATGTGTGCGGGCGGGCCGGGTGCAGGGCCAGCAGGTCGCGGTGGGAGGAGGGGCCACACATGGGGATGCGGACGCAGCCACGGACCACCAGATCCGGGCTGTGGTGTCCGCTTTCGAGGTGGGTCGGTACCGATACCGGTGCACACAAGAGGGCATCAGCAGTGTGACTGATAGCCCGCTGCACGGCGCCCCGCATTCTATGGGGGCCCCGCCCGCAGCAACCCCCGTCCTCCGAACCGTTCTTCCCGTGCAAGGCAAGGCAATGCGATGGGCTGTATCCCCATGGTGTGCTATGTTGTTCTTGGTGACGATGATACATGGGTGTGCAGAATGGAGTAGAAATGCAGGGCTGAAGAGGGTGCATGGGCCGGGGCTTCCCCACAGTCGCAGGAGATCTAATGGGCCATGTCACACGGTTTCGAAGAACCGCCGCTTGGTTGCATCCCTGTTCGAGTCGAGTCGGCTGGTTATGGGTATTCCGGTTCTCTTTGACCTAATACTCGTGCACGCGGCGCTTGTGCGGCGGCGCAGGTGCTACGTGCGGCGGCCCAGCAGGCGAGGTGCATTAGAGAGCAGCTGCAGGTCCGGAGGCGGTTATGTGGGGTGCCGGGTAGGACGCCTGGCTGGCTGCGCGGGAGATGGGGAAGCGGCGAGGCAGTGTGTGGGGCCTTCCGTTGTTTGGCCCGTTTAGCTCAAGTGATCATAACAGCCGGGGAGCGGGGCGGAGAACACGTAGATCAGAGCACGCTAGGGCATCTTGAAGGCGTCGCCACCACTGGCTACATCCACCCATTGGCCGGCGTGACGTGGGGGGTGTTCATAACTCGCAATACCTGGGGTCGCGGTCAGGCCTGGCCACTCTACTCCTACACCCCCCTTCCCGCCTCCAGGCGGCCCTGGACGCCAAGGCGGAGCTGCGGGAGGCCCTGGCGGCTGAGAGAGCGAGCTCGGAGGTGCGCGCCAGCGAGGCGATGCGGCTGGTCGAAGCGGAGGCACGGCTGGCACGGCAGGCAGGTAGCGGAACGGAGGGGGCCAACAGCCACCATCCCGTTGAACGGGGCAAGAGGAGCTCTTTTTTGTTAACACGGGTTAACGCATTTTGGAACTTTGGGACTTCGGCAGGCATGATGAGACAAGATGAAACGACCTCAAATCCAGGAGCCACGAGAAGGATCAGATCCTTTTTTGTCGGTGGGCAGAGATTTCGGCTGGTTGTAATGTTGCCATTGGCTCTCGGATATCGCAGGTTCAGGAGCTGGCAGCTGAGCTAAACCACGTGAGGCTGGAGTCGGCGCAGACGTTAAAGGTGCGTGCGACCTTTGTGAGCGGAATGTGGTGATGGTGACATCTACGCGGCGGAACAGTGCCTGATGACAGGCAGTGGCCTTGGACTCGAGGGGGCTATGGACTCGAGGGGGCTATGGACGCGATAGGTTGTAGAGGTTGAGGTTTGGGTTTTGGGGCAAGCCTCGAAGGCCAATAATGGCGGAATGTCTAAAACGAACGTGTTTCTTCGGAACGGAACAGCTGCGGCAAGGGGGGAGCGCACCGTTTGCGTATGCGTAAGCTCCGAGGCGCGGGAAAGGTCGGGTGGGATGCGGGTAGGACTTTTGTGTGGTGTAACAAGTCTCGTGAAGGGACTCAGGGTAATTTGCAGCTGTGCGCTCATTGCATTCCCCTCCTCGCCCTCCTCCTCCTCCTCTTCCCCTTCCTGGCTCCTCAGGCGGCAGCGGACGAAGCTGAGCAGCGCGCGGCGGCTGCCTTTGAGCACGGCCGGCAGGCGGGCGACCGGCAGGCGGCGGTGGCGGTGGCAGCGCTGCACGGGGAGCTGGCGGTAGGTGGGTTGGGGCTTGATAGCCAAGAAATGTCATGATGAAAAATGTCAGTGACATGTATTACTACTATAACCCACTGAGCGAATGTGTGAAGAGCGGGTGACATTGCAATTGTCTTATTGCCACGAAATCCGGGCAGACATTTTGCCTTTTGAGCGGGCTGACTAACCTCCGGCTGCGCAATGATGTTTGTCCTCAGCCTGCGCAGCAATCGCGGAATCTCGTGTCCACACCCTCACGCCGGTTTCACGCAAAATCCCACATGACGCAGAGACAATACAGGGCGCGACAAACATTTGCTTGCTTTATGATGCCTGCGATTGCTCGAGTTCAGCTTTTATTCCCGACGCCTAGCTTGCTGCCATGCTGTGGCATCGCTTTCAGCTTGTTGTCATGCTGCTGCGCCATCTCTTCAGGAGCACGAACGGGCCCTCCAGCGCGAGGGGGAGCTGCGGGAGCTAGCAGTGGCGGAGGCGCGCCGGGCTGGGGAGCTGGCGATCGCGCAGGTGAGGAAGGATGCCGAAGCAGCGGCGGCGCAGGCACGGCTGGAGGCGGCGGCGGCGGCGGCGGCGCAGACGCGGCGCGAGTGCGAGGCGGCGGCAGAAGAAGCGAGGCGGGAAGGCGAGGCGGCGCTGCAGCAGGCTCGGAGGGAGTGGGAGCGGGCGTTAGATGAAGCAAGGAGGCATGCTGAGGCCGCTGAGGAGGCCGTACGGCGGGAGGCGGCGGAGGCGAGAGGGGAGCGCGAGGCGGAGCTGCAGGTGCGGCCGGGCCCGCCTGCCCCAGCACCCTCCCACCCACCCACCCACCACTTCCCCGGTCCCACGTTTCGTTTTGGAAATCCATTATGTAAATCGGCTGGGGAGCTGCCAGCGTAATATACGTGATATAAAGTAAATATCCGACCACTAACGAAGACGACGAACAACTCCTAACCGCCTAGCTCACGTCTTAGCTTGTGATGCGTTATCCTCTCTATCAATTGAGTCGAATTTAAAGTGTTCTTTGGCCACTGGCCGGTGGATTGATTGGTTTCGGAGCGCAGCGGATAGCGGATGAGGCTCAGCGCCATGCGGGGCTCCTGGAGGAGCAATTGCAGCGCACCGAGGAGAGGGCGGCGGAGGCGCTAACCAAGTGCGAGCAGTACCTTGCGCAGGTGCGAGGAGGGGTAGTAGCCGTAATAGCTGTAATAGCTGTAGTAGTAGTAGTAGTAGTAGTAGTAGTAGTAGTAGTAGGAGGAGGAGGAGGAGGAGGAGAAACGGGAGGCGGGGGAGCCAGCTAAGATTGGCAAGTGGTATACCCGGGTAGGCAGATGGAAATGGAAGATGGAGGTGGAAGTGAAAGTGGCGGGAGGCGGTGAAGCCTTGGTGCCAAAAATAGGCGGAATGCATTACGGCACGTATGGCCGATGTACTGCAGGTGTACGAGCTGACGCAGGAGCTCCAGCAGGTACGACAAGATCTGGCTGACAAGGATGCTCAGGCAGAAGCGGCGGCCAAGGAACACGGTGGGGGGGGGCCCGGGCGCTCTGCGGTGGCCTCTGGTCGCTGCCGTTACACACACACACACATATTCACACACACACACACACACATATATATATATATACGTAATTAACTAACGGGCATTAACGGGAGAATTCCTGGCTGCGGGCCGACTGCTGGGCTGCTGCATCGCGGCAGGATAGCGTTGCTTAGCTGGCAAGTTTCATTGGGTGGCACGTCCTTAGGGAAGCGCGTCACAGCTCCTCGGGTCCAGTTGTGGCGGGACACTGCCGGGGCACTGCTGTGATTCCGGGATCCGGGGAGCTCCATAATCTTTGGTTCTGATTAAAATCTATCTGCTGCTTCATACTTCTCATTTCCTTTCCCTCTCGCGCTCCCTCCCTCCTTTCCCCCCTGATTTTCGGACCGTGGCTTCACCCTCCATTCCCTTCACCTGGTGCCCTGAGCAGACGCGGCAACAGCGGAGCTCGAAGCGCGGCTGTGCGAGTGCATCCAACGACTGTCAGCGCAGGCGGAGCAGCAGGAGGAGTACATCCACAATCGAGACGAGGAGCGGGTGAGAACGCCACCCGCATTCCGTTAGAAACGTATCTGCGGCGAGAAGGCAAGCGACGTGCGTTTGTGTCGGTATTACATGTCGCTGTTTGTATGCACCCACAAGCATTGCGGCCTGGGCCCTCCTCTTTCTCTTTCTATACCCCACCAGAAAACCTAATCTACACGGACACCAGTAACATCCAATAGCTCTTCCCACGTGAAATATTTCATTCACTCGTGCTTCCTACTCGCCGTGCGCCAGTTTCTGTCCCGTCTCCCTGGTCGGAGACGAAGGAGGTGGTTCCCGTGTGTGCTGCTAGGACGCACGCCCCGCGCATCTCTCCCGCGAACGGCCACCACCCACCCCCTTGGTGCAGACTCGCTCCCTGGACACCCTCCGCTCCAGTCTGGCCCACGTGTGCGAGGAGCGTGACGGCCTGCAGTCCGAGTGTGTGGTGCTGCGGTCGCAGCTCAGTGCGATCCAGGCGGCGGCAGCGGGGGTGGAGATGGAGATGGAGGCGCTGAGCAGGTGCGGTTGTGCGGATGTGCAGATGGGTTGGGAGGGTATGTGGGTCCTGGCTGGGTGCATGCGTGTGCGTGGGTACGGTAATGTTGGGGTGGAGGTAGCCGATCACACAGAGGCATGCAAACAGCTTGGAAGAGGGATGCGTGGATCTAAGGGACCTCTGTGCATGCTGCGCCGATATGAGGTCGAGGCTGGCGACAGTGGCGTTGGCTGATGGCTTAGGAGAGGAGTGGTGCCCTCTCCGACCGTCCAAATTCCAAGGTTGGGAGCCTTGCGCAGCCCATGTCACTCCGTCGGCTGGCCGTCATGGCGCTTAATGCAGATCTCCTTGAGAAAACACCTGCCTACTGTAGTCCGTCATTGGCTGGCCGCTGGCCTTTAAAATGTGATGGCCGATTGCCGTGAACATCGCTGTTGAGGTCCGATATGGGTCAACATGCGCTTTATTACCCCAGTCCCGCTATCCAGAGTCCGATGAGGCAATGAAACCCCCGCACTCTATCGCTTAACGCATCGTGTTCAGCGCGCTTGAAGCGCAAAAGGCTGCCCGCAGCGCCGCGGAGGCGGCTGCGGACGAGGCCCGTCGGTCCGCTGCCGCCGCGACGACGGCAGCTGAGGAATCTGTGGCGCGGGTGGCGGTGCTGGCGCAGCAGCTGCAGGAGGTGACTCTGACGCACGAGCGGGAGGTGCGGTGTGTGTGTGTGTGCGTGTTGTGTGTGTGTGTGTGCGTGTTGTGTGTGTGGGGAAGTGGGTCGAGACGGATGTGCAGGAATTGAACCATACGACGTCTCACGCAGAGATGCTTCATGCAGGATGCGATAATGTCGCAGGGTGGGAGTTGTGCAAGCCGCGCTTGGACGGTCCTTCTTCCCCGCCGCCTGCAGATGCACTTACTGGAGGCCCGCTACGCCGCCGAGCTAGACTCTGCTCAGGCCCGCTTCCACACGGAGTTGGAGGCGCTACACACTCGACTGAAGATGCTACGGCTGAAGCAGAGCCGCGTTATGGCCTATGTGGATGATGTGTTCATGCCCGACGAGGAACAGCAGCAACAGCAGCAACAACAAGCCCAGCAACAAGAAGCCCAGCAAGGCTTTGTGCAAGGACAGCGCCAACAACACCAGCTGCAACTGCTGCAACATGAGCAACCCTTTGAGCAGCATTACTGGCAGTACCTCCAACAAGAGCAACAGCAACTGATGCACGACCGGGACCAGACACCACGGTGGAGCCGGGAAATGCAAGGGGAGCGGAGGACTGAAGAGGCGTTGCTGGCCGGGGCAGGCGTAAGTGGCAGGGCCAGCTGGGGCCAGCAGGATGGCCTCTGGGGCTGGCAGCAGCAGTCAGCGATGGGGACGACGGCGGGAGATGGTGTGCCTACAGATGATGTGAGCAGAGAAGGGGCGGAAGAGGAGTGACGGGTAGAAGTGCCTGGGCCTGGGGGCCCGCTTGTTGGCGACAGCGACCGTGGCGTCGGTCGGATATTCCACGAAGGTTGGCGGGCCAGCGGAGGATGTCTGTACGGCGTCGGTCAGGACGAGCGCATCCAGGGCACTGCACTATGTGCAACGTAAGCGCATTAGCTGGGATTCGAGGCTTGAGGGTTGGGTGTATATATTACAGCATGGCCACGTGCCTGTCGTTCAAAAACATCGAGCGATGCGAGCCTCAACGCAGACTTGTGCCTTTTGCATTTACATAAAGAGCAAGTAAGCATTTCGGAGGGAGCATTCCCATTACACGGTGGCAGGGCAGATGTCCTCACACCGAGGGTGGCTCCGGCGTCATGAAACTTCTCGAACCTGCCCAAACAACAACAAAGGCCTTTTCCCAATGTAGTGTCTTTTCTTAGTCTTGTTCTCGTTCGTGCGCCGGCGTGCGGAGCGTTAAGACATGTGTGTGTGTGAGGGAGAGAGGACTTTGGCAGATAGCCCGTTGGAGTCCCATCCCACCACAGGGAAAAGTGCCATCATGGGCGTGAGCATCTGCTGGTAAGGCCCGGCAAGTTGTTAGAGCGAACAGTGCGCGTGGCATGTAGCCTTTCCACTTCTTGCTACATTGCGTTGTGGGGTACCCAGAGCACAATCTGTACGGAGCAGGACGTACGTGTTACAACTCAATAACTAACGCTAGTTGACATATATCTCGAATGCGTTGATTATCGCCTTTAGAAACACCGGCTGTGCATATGGCATCTGGCAGCGACATAAATGTCTAATCAACGGTGCAAAATACTGCCGTAGCTATCGACAAGCTAACGAGCATCAATCACGTCAGTACCTCCACGGGAAACGCCCGTGCGTATTTGTTATACAAAAGTGCCTTGAACCAGACGTAAACAGCGCCCATCCAGCTCAGCCCCAACATGTTCCTCACGTCCCTTCTCGCAGAAGAAAACACATACAAACACTGCCACGGCCACACACGATCTAATGCACCAGCCTCTTTTCGTTACCCAAGCCAATGCTATGCAAGGGGGTCAAGTGGGAACATGCGACTGCCGAGCTGACCGAGATGAAGTCCGGTACATCACGCACCAATGATCTTCCATTCAGCACCCTTCAACCCCCACCCAAACGTGTTTAGGCTTCTCGCGCGCACATCCCTCTCTTACGACATTAGGCGTCTTTGACAATACTGTCTATTCTCTCCGGCAAACCTTTTCCTAACCCTCACCAATCCCTTCCCATTTTGCAGCCCCAGCTCCACAACCACAATCCACAGTCTACACCCCTTCCCCGATCCGACCCCATGGCGCCCCAGCCCCACAACCCAACCTATTCGTCATGACCTCTTCCTTCCCATTTCCCTTCAGCGGCCGCTGCCCGAGGTAAATTGCATCCGCCGTCCCATGCCCGCACCCGCACCGGCGTCTTCGAAAGAAGCGCCTCCACCCGCCGCACTCATGCCGCCACGCTGACCAATGGCGTCCAGCGCGTTGCCCTTGCGGCCCCCTCGCTCCCGTCCTCCTCCCTTGACCTCCGACAGGAACTGGTCCAGACCGAAGGGGTCCGCCTCTTCTGCGGCAGCTGCCTGCCGCTCGAACTCCAGCCGGCCGCCGCCGCCACGAGCCGCCGCACCTGGAGCCGGTTCCGCCCCCTAAGAGCGCGAACAGCAACAGCAGAAGGAATGATAAACAGGGGAATGTAATGTGCACAGAATTTAGACTCCTTTACGTAAGCCCAAAGTGAGAAAGACAACTTCTATTGCTGAAAGAATCCGTTCCTGTGCCGTCCCCGGCTCCACTAAAAACTCAAACGAGACTCAAAGCTAAACAGGCTTTCCCAAGGGGTCTTCCGAAAATTCCCCTACAGTGCACACAACGCGACACGTTTACATCTAATTGACAGAATCTCCAACAAAACATCTTCTGGACTGTTCATGCTGGGTGGGCGAGGTGCTGGAAAGCAGACACCGCACGCCGCTGCCACCACCCACACGCCGCTGCAGCCGGCTACCGCACCACGCCAATGTCAGTATACGTACCTCGAAGCCCTTATCCGGCCTGAAGCGGTCGGTGCGCGGCCCGGCGTCCGAGGGCCCGAGGTCCTCATCGTCCGCCGTGGCGCGGCTGGCCTTGAACAGGTGGCTGCCACGATCCGCGAACAGCGGCTTGTCGTACATGTTGTACGCGTCGTCGGGACCAAAGCCGCTCTGCATACCAGCGTCCTGGTTAAACAGGCGCTGGTCGTACTGGACCTCGCCGCCGGCACCCACGTTGGCCATACCCAGAGCAACCTGTAATATTGTGGTCAAGATGGTCAAGAGAGAGGAGGTACGTTCCACCTTCCCAGACTCCCCAAAGTTGCGTTTTAAAGGAGGTGGAGCAAACTGCACTTAGCCAAACCGAACAGGCCCGGGGCCCCACCCGCCTGCATTCCGCGCCCTGGAGCATACCGGCTGGCGCCACCCCATCAACACCGGCAAAACCGCGAACAGTGTCAGCTGCGACTGCAGCCATTACAGCGCACCTTTTCGCTGATGTCACGCTCGCGATCCCGAGTGATCTTGGACTTCTTGGCGCCCCCTTGGTTGGCGGCCTGCACAGAGGAAGAGCGGGGTCAGGAAAGGGCGTGAGGGAAGTGCGTGAGATTATCAGGTGGCCAATATGCATAATAGGGGGCCAGCGAAAAACAGTGAAGGAAAGTGACAGGAAAAGAAAAAAAATACGAGATACAAGCGCTCTCCGCGAGCAGGCCTGATTCTCCACCACCTACTCACCTCGAGCCGGCGCTCTCGCTCTCGCTCCCTCCGGCGCTCCTCCCGAATCTCGTCGCGCCGCCGCCGCTCCTCGCGCTCCTCCACCGTCTCGCGGTAGCGCTCATCGTCGCCGCCGCCGCGGCCACGGTCATAATCACGGTCCCGGTCCTGCAAGTGATAATCATTGGGGTTGAACGTACGAAGTGTGTGAGAGAGGTGGCCATTCAGCTCAGCTGTAGACGTGCCGCATGTGGCCCATGCTGGCCTATCGTCCCATCATTCGAATTCACACGGATCGAAAAATTTCACGCGGTCCGTCCGCTCCCACACCTTAAAAAACATTAAACCTGCCTAAATCTACAACACAAACATAAACATCGACTTGCGTGACGGGGTACATGTACATGTCCAGGGGCCCCTCCCGCACATAGGCATACATCTACACCGGTTGGCACAGCACCCAGTCGCAGCACGCACATGTGCGCCCCGATCCCGGTCCCGATCGTAGTCGCGATCCCGAGTGTCGCGGTCACGGTCACGGCCGCCGCCGTCCCGGCCATCGCGGCGGTCGAAGTCGTCGAAGGCGTCCGCGGCCGTGGCACGCGCGCTACGTGGTGGAGGACCTGGGGGCGGCCCCGGCAACGTGGCATCTGCTGCTGCGGCGGCGGCAGCACACCGGGGGGCCGGGGAAGGGATTATCGTTGTCATTAAAATTGCGGCTGTGATTGCGATTCTGTGAAGACAGGAGGTGAGGGCCTGTCGTGATACCGCGCGTCGAGAAAGCGAGTGTCCCACTCCCCAACTCCGGCAGCAATACCACCCCAGTGGCTGAAGGCCTCCTCCTCACAGAGCCTTTCGAGAGGCCACGCCGTGCCGCGTTGGTCCATTAACAGCATGAACAAAGGTTTTAGCTGCATTGGCAAGAGCCCATCATCTTGCGGCTGCTTTCTTTGAACACTGACACCGTTGTTGCCATCATGATTACCAACACATTCCGACGCACAAAGCAAGTGCGCATATCAATTCTTTTGCAGTTCACCGCCGTACCTCGCGCAGCCGCACCCCCGGCGGAAGGTGGCGGCGGCGGCGGCGGCGCCGCCATGCCTCCAGCTGCCCCCGCGCCCGCTCCCTGCCTCTCCATGCGCGCCTGCATGGCGAGTTGCCTGAGCTCCGCCTCTCGCTTGTTTTTCTCCTGCACGTGGCACCCGTTGTAACACACAAAACCACCACCACAGCGGCGGCGAGACAAGGGACCAGTAGAGGTGAGCCAAACGAACTTGCAACTCACAAATCGGGTGTTCGGGTGTGCACACTCAAACCTCAAGAGCAGGGAGGCAACAGGAAACCGAGCAACGGCGTGGGAGGTCCACGAAAACACCTCCCCTCTTCTCGGTCGCTCTGTTGCAGCTTAGCTCTCTTAATAACTTTCCTGTTGTTGTTTGCTTTGATCGCTGTGCTCAGCGCACGTCATTTCGGAGCAAAAAGAATTGACAGGTTTGATGTCCTCGCCTATCGCCTCTCCCCCTCTGCCACCGCCAGCCCTCTACCACCACGACCGTCGCCAACACCCGCGAACACCACCATCACCCTGCCCACCCCGCGCGGTGCGCCGTCCGTGGGCCCTACCACTTCCCCTTTCCAAGGACTTCAACGACAATCTCGGCTTTTTACTTCCGGAACCACGAGTCGATGACTTCATCGCTTAGGACTCACTAGGCAGTTTGAATCGGACTTATGAAACTTATGACGCCTTCCGGCAGTTCGTTTCTGGTTTCCTTTCATACAATTCTCCCCCTCTCTCCTTCACCTTCCCCCCCACGCGCACCTTGAGCGCCAGTTCCTTCTGGATGCTGGCCCGCATGGCGATGGCCTCTCGCGCCTTGGCCTCCGCGGTGAACAGCGCCTCACTCAGCGCCGCGAACTTGTCGTTGATTTGGGTCTGCTGCAGGCCCCGACCATCCGCCGCAAGACGCTTGTCCAGCGGGATGGTGTAACCCTGGGGTGGGGGCCAGCGCCAAGAGGCGGGTGAGGGAGGGCGGGGGGGTGAGGGTGAGGGAGGCCGCCTCGGCCCTCGGACTGAACCCCCTGAAGCAGTCCGTTCCAACGACCAACTTCAAGTTGGGACAACTCCAATTCCAATTCCAACTGGACCCCGGACAGGCTCCCGGACACTAGGGTCATTGTGAAAGGTTTATCATCGAGAGGGGATCGAGCTAGGGTCGTATTCGCCGGGTGCACCCACCCACCCACGCACCCAAGTATCCAAAATACACCCAACCCACCCACTACGGCCCACCCACCTTGGGGTTCTTCCAGTTGGAGATGGAGGGCGGAATCTTCCAGTCCTGTATGTATGTATGTATGTACGTACGTGCGGGATGAGAGGGAGCAGTTGGGAAGAGAGGGCAGAGGGTCCCACTCGGAGCGTGGGTGTGTTCATACCACACGAATGGAGAGAAGAGCGACCAGCAGAGGGGTCTAGGGGTCTAACCCCACGCCACCACACTCATCCAACCCAAGCGTCAGCCAATGACGACTCCCGCCATGCCTCCCTCCAACACCTCCCCCCCTGCTCGGACCTCATCCCAGTAGTCGCCTCTGTTTTCTAATTCCTCCGGGCCCGCGACCCTCACTCTTCTCTCACTCCCTCTCACGCATCTCCCTCCAACACCCCCCCTTCCTTCCTTGTCTTCACGTCCCGAGCTAACCCCCATACTGGGGGGCCCCCAAAACCCCTCGCCTGGCAAACCATACCCAACCATCATGCCCCCAGGCCCTAACAAACCTCAGTACCCCGGCACCCAGCACTGCACGCTCCGGCCCGAGACACATACACATCACACACCACCATGGATGGGTGATTCCCACCCTCGCACATTCCCCCTCTTTCCCCGCACCTGCTGGTCCTTCACACTGAGCGGCCGTGGCGGCGAGTGCAGTACGGGTACGGGGGGCGACCCGGGTCCCCTGGGTACTTTGACGTGTCTGAACTTGGGCGGCTCCAGGGGGTCCACCGGTAGGTCCTGCATCTTGATGATGCGCTGACCCGCTCCGGAGGCGTACTGGCGGGGACAGGAGTAGCAGGGGGGGGGCCGGGAGGGAGGGATAGAGGGAGAGGGGAAGAGAGGGGAGAGGGGATATGTTTATGCACACGTCAAAGAAACAACTGCCGAGAGGAGAAGATTAGATGCTAAAATCAAAGCCGGAGGGAGGGGGAGAGTGGGAGGGAGAGGGGCGGGACCCCATGAACCGGTGGGGGAGGTCAGTCAGTGAGCGAGGTCGTAACTGTTATGCAGCTTGCAGCACAGACAAGAAGCAGGGAACGCCTCCCAAGCCCCACTTACGTGGCTCCGCGGGTCTGCGAGTCCTCGTTAACAGATTCTCCCGTCCCCGCGCCTGAAGGAGCCGGGGATGCCGAGTGGCAACCCCCGCACCCAACACCACCCCCCCACCCCAAAGCGCTTAACACCCTGCCCGCACATCAGTTTCCAGTAAAACAAACGCGCATGCACGAACACATACGAGCATACAGACAGACAGACAGACAGACACGCACACCTGCGCTCCCTGCTGCGCGGGCGTGTACTTGATGAGGGTGGAGCTCCCCGGCTGGTTGGGCAGCTTAGAGGGGTTGGTGGAAGACAGCTTGCCCTGCACCACCCGCTCCAGGGCCGCAGCGGTCTCCTGAATAGTCTTCTCGACCTCCTCGTCATCGGGCCGGGCCAGGGCCTGAAAGAGTCAGGGAAGAGGGGGAAAGACGAACCACGTGAACGAGTGAAGGTGCTGCCAAGGAAAGGATGTACAAGAAGCAGAACTGACCAGTAGGAGTTCTTGAAGGCGGCGAGGGGGAGGGGGGGAGGGTGTAATATGTATGTCAAGGAAAGCAAAGGGGGAAAACGGTGAGGCTGGCTAAGGCGATCTTTGTGGGGGCCAACAAACATTACGACGTGCAAGTTGCGGTGGTGATAGTGGTGGTGAGGAGCTGTGAGGAGCCGTGGCCAATTACCGGGCCTGGCTGGGGGTAAGAGGAGGGAAATTGCTGATTATTGGTCGGCGAAAAGACAGGGGCTTGGGTAAGGTGTGGGACCGCTAGTTTACCCGGGGCCCCAGTGATCAGGCCAAAGACTGTTCAGTAGCCATAGGTCCCTCCCCGCCAGTCAATTAGGATGAGGGACGCATTTGCGAAACATCCCGATACCGGCAAAGCGAGGCCGAAACCGCGAGACGGTATAGCTCAGCCACGCTGAGCCCACGCCTACCTCCTTGCTCAGACGGTCCACCTTCGGAACAAGCGCGCTGTGGTCCGAGTGGACGATGCGATCCCTGTTGCTACCCTGCTTCACCACGGCGTCATAGTTGATCTGCCCATCGGCATTTAAGGTCACCGCAAGCTGTTGGTTCCCCTTGGCGCCGCCACCCTTGCCCATATCCAAAGGGTACTGTGCAACATGAATTTCTGGAAATGCTCCGCCATCTCCAAAGTCCTCTGCTCGTCGGGGCACCCATCCTTGACGACGCAGATAGGGTGGGGGCTCCTTATAGGCTGTTGAAACAATAGCAGAAGATGCTGGTACAGCCAGTATTGGAGCTGCATGTTGCTTCGTAGGTGCCGGAAGGTTTGCTAAGAGAGACATTGTTGCCCCTCACGGCCTCGGGTTATCCTCCTAAATATCAGACTTCTTGGATCCGTGAAACAGCCAACACGTCCACCGGTAAGAAGAAGAGGCAACTTCAGGATCGTGGTCCAACAACATAAGCGACTACAAAGAGGGCGGCGTCTACTAGGTCTTGGTTGCAAAAGCTCCTTCGAGCAAACGTTTCTTAATTCAGATACAAATTGTACTTAATACATTTCGTTTAAGTCGGTTCAAGGGTAATGTTGCGCATCAATCACATAGACCTTGCAACTGGAATGGCTTTACGCCCCTTGTGTCAGGTATGAATAAGCTGCACAGGTAGCCACAACTGCCGCTAACTTTATCAAATCGGCTCCATTGTTATACTGCAACAAAAGCTTTGTGCCGTGCAGAACAGCTACCGACCCAAGGGCCAATGGCCTTGACAACGGCGCATCCTTCCCTTCCTTTCTTTAAGATCCCGAACACGTGGCCTGGGATTCAATCTCTGGTGGACCGCTGCCCTTTGGTTTCTTGCCGTATTCAAGTCGACGCATCTTCTAATCGGCTGTTCACAGCTTAGATTTGCAATCTGCAGGCGCCCGCGACACATAATCCAAACGTTTCCAAGACACGCAGCACAGCACCATTACAAATTATGTTGTGTTACTGCACATATGGTTCGACACGACACGGACCACATGAAAAGATCCAGGCGAGTTAGTTTGGAAGCCTGGCCACACATATGCCGCTATGCCGCTTCGCAAATCGACGAGAAGCCCCCCCTGCTTCTTACAAAGATAACGTAGCTAAAGACACCTCCGGAGACCGAGCCGAAATCCAAAGCAGGACATAGCATCCCGTACTACCGGCAGCCACTCACACAACAAACGGGTATTCCAGTTTCTTACCAAAACGCGGCCTTGTTGCTAGCCAACCCTTTATCCAAGCCATAACTATCGACAACGCCTAGCGCAGCAGTAATAGCAACGGCCGCAGTGCAAATTATCGGCCGGGGCGATGCGCCCCCCGCCAGAGATTCATATCATAATATGCCGTACAACTCTTAACGGCCAACAATCTCCGAATACCGCTAACCGTCACCGCCCCTATATGCCCCTATTTTATGCATCAACCGGTCCGGTTCCGAAACCAGAACGCCACTCCGCCCCTTTCCCCCACACCCATTACCATATTCACCACGCAAAAATTGCTCACACATACTCATGTCGTATGCAGACCTTGCACGTCGCAAACACACACACAGAGACACAGACACACACACACAGACACTCTCAGCAGACACATCTCAACCCCCCATATCGCTAGGGGGGTTGGCCACCCCACCCGGGTGGGACTCCGGACCCGACCGGGTAATACACACCACGGTCGTGTGCACCGCACGTGGTCCCTTGAACCACACGCACGTAATGATGACAGGTGTTTCACCTCCTATCAAAATGCATGCTCATGCGAGTGGGGGTGGACACACCACCCGACCCACAGACAGCAGACTTTGATACGGTGCGGGGCCATCACCTCTACCTCCTCCTACCTCTACCACCACCGCCTCCTCCACCTCCTCCACCACCACACGAGCACGACCTTAGAAAGGGCAGGGCCGCGTAGATGCCCTGCCCTTTCAATGATGTGCAAGTACACACACCTATAGATATACACACACACACACGCACACAAACGCGTCAGCTGTTTAGGTTGGATGTGGATATGTATGTATGTCAGTGTCCACTTGTCTCTTCCGCTCGTACACACAAAAGCACCTAACAGTCGTACACGCGGCGGCGCGCACATGAAACTAGTATACTGCTATTGCGTTGTGCGTCGTCATCTGAATCCCTTTCGTCTAGGCAAGGAATACACGGTTTACATGGCTATGTTCAAAGTCAAAAAACCGCTAAAACCACTAAAACCGTCACCAGTATGTCTTGGTCTGATCCGCCCACACGGGCATGTTGGCAACGTCGCTCTTGTGCTCCCCAAACACGGGCAACCGGCCAAAAAACGTCTGGTTGCCTTTGTCCTGCATCTGCCGTACCCTGTCGTACATTTCGCAACGCTCCTCGTACCTGATGGAAGGCCCGAGGGATGGGTGGCAATTGTAGGGGGCAGAGGGCAAGGAGGGGGATATGATGTGGAGCCAGCCAACTACCGCAGAGCTCCCCCTTCACGGTGACTAACGCACAGCCCGCGGCCCGCCACCCACATCGACACCCCTCCGAAACCACAACCCAAGACACCCCTTCCCCCTCCTACACCCTTTCCCCACCACTCACCTCTGCCTCGCCGCCTTCGCGACCGCCCGTCGCCCATCGTCGGCACCGCTCGCATCGTCTTGGCCCGAGTAGCCCGAATCGATTTCGGAGCGTGCGGCGTACCGGTGTACTTGCTGTGTACGGCAATGTACGGACAACAGACAGTACATACGTGCGTAAACAACTAACAGGCAGGCAGAGGTTAAGGCCTGAGTTCTGCTCCCAGCCGACCCGGGTTCAAATCCGCCTGCCGACCTCTCGGGTGTTTGATGAGAGGTGGCGAAATGGGAGGTGGCCTCCCATCTTATGGACGGTGAAGGGCGTGATATATTAGGGCAGCCCCTGCTTCCCCCCACCAGACATTTCCCCCGTTCAGGGCCCCTACCTGCGCCCTCCTCCGCGCCTCCTTGGCCTTGTCCTCCTTCTGGTAGTGCAGGTACTCCGAGTTACTGGACTTCCGTACATAGGGCCCCTCGGGCAGGGAGGACGAGGAGGTGCCGGGGTTGGGACAGGTGACGGAGCTTGTGTCTCCGTAGCGCCTGGACCAGAAGCGGATATAGAGACCTAGCGGGGTGGGGTGGGGTGGGGTGGGGTGCGGTGGTTGGGTGGGGGGTTTTCAGGTGGGCGAGGACATCTTTGGGAGGCTAGGTAGCATGTGACGTATGTGGTACACAGGCTGGTACCCTCCCGCCTCATTCCCCCCCCCCCGCGCCGCTCTCCCCCCACCCCCACCCCCGCCGCCAATACACACCTGTCGCGTGTGACGGCGCTTTACTGCTGTGCGACGCAGCGTCCATGCTCCTAGACATGTACGGCAGGGCGGGCTCCCCCGCGGCCGCAGCAGCTCGGTTTAGCGACGCCATCAACGGGGCGATTGCGGTGGCGTGTAGCTGGTAGAGGCTGTCCCGGTCGCCGGTGGCTTTGCTGGGGAGCGGTAGTGGCGGGGCGGGGGGGTGGGCGGAGGCTGTGGGGGAGGTTGCGCAGGTGGGCTCCGTCTCGGGGCGGCGGTAGAGGCTCACCGCGGATAGGGCCCTGGTCTGAGGTGTGGGGAGGGGGGCCTGCGGGTTTGAGATAGGGGGAGGGGGAAAAAGTGGGGGAGGGGGGCGATTGGAGAAGGAAAAACACACACACATACACACGCATACACACATACACGCGCACACATAGAGCGAGAGAGGGTGGGGGTGATGGAGGGCTTCACGTATGGTCCTCATAGACTGGCTCAACTCCCAGCTCCCCTTTAGGGGAAGAACTAAAAGGGGACACCCCTTTGTTTCCCCCAAAGGAACACATTCTTCAACCACCAATTCCCTGGGCGTTATTTCCCCCCCCCACCCCTCGGCATCAAACACACACAATACCCAGCCCCGCCCCCCATCATCCACCCACGGGGACAGTCAGCGGCTCCCCGAACCGCGCCAGGGCTCCCAACACCTTCCCACCACCATATCCGCCGCCAAGGCCACCGCTACTGCAGTTGTCAGCGTCCCCCCAGTCATTGCCGCTGCTGCTGTTGGTGTTGTCGTTGTTATTCGCCGCGGACAGCTTGGGCCCCCCCGTCGGCTCGTTGTGGGCCAACCGCTCGCGAGTCAGACGCCAAGTCAATCGGTGCTTGAACGCCGTTTAGTCAGCGGGACCGGGCGCGGAGGGGCCGTCTGCATGTGCGAGGGATGACGGAGGCGTGTACGGCACTCGTGCCTGGTAACGGAGTGGGGCGGCGGGAGGTGGAAGGTGAAAAAGGAAGGGGCCACATAACACAGATAAACACACGGACAGACAATCATGCAAACCTTCGAGTTCGGGAGTCTCTTAAAACACGTACATACGTACATACAGTCTTTTTGGTTTCCCTTGCTTTGGCAGGTATGACGGCCCCCTTTCCGCCACATACACACACACACACTCCTCCTCCCTCACTTCCTTCCCTTTCCCGCCCTTTCCCCCTCCAGCCACCCCACTCCCTTACCAGGCACTAGTGCCGTACACGCCTCCGTCATCCCCCGCACATCCAGACGGCCACACAGCGGCAGGTCCAGCTGCTTAAACGGCGCCAAAGCAACAATCCCCTTGCCGTACAAACTGCGAGCCAGCTCCAAAACCAAAGGCTGACGCAGGGCCCCCTGGATCTCGTCCGGGCTGAGACCGAGAGACAGAGACAGAGGTACGGCACTGGCGGTTGTGTTGGTTGTGCCGCCATTCCCGGCGGTGTTGCCGCTTTTGCGGTTGTTGTTATTGTTGCTGCGGAGTCCTGGTTCTTCGAACATTCGTGCAAACTCCGTGTAGTCTATGACCCCGTTGCGATCCTGGTCACAGAGCTCGAACAGGCGGTCGACCTGGGGGCGGTCAACCTCCACCGCGAGCTGGGCCAGCTGCCGAATGAGTGAGGGGGGAAGGGGAAGGGAGGGGAGGGGAGGGAGGTGTTGGTGGTGAAGCGTGGTGGCAAAACCCAACCTTAAATGTCCTGCTAACTGCATCCAACCGTCCTAACGGTCATTAACCAACCCAACTGTATCCAACCAACCCTACTCACCCCTTTTGCAAACTCCTCTGGGTCGATGAGCGAGTTGCGGTCGGAATCCATTTGTCGAAACACCGCCCGCAGCTTGCCACGGCAGTTGCCTAACTTGGCAACCACCAGCGCAGTCAGCATGGCGTCGTTGTGTGCCTGCTCGCTGTTGTCCTCCCGAGCCTGATCAAGCAACCCCGGCATGCGCTGCAGGGACAGGGCCGCAGGGGATTCCTCGCGTGTGGGCGGGATGCCGTACATGGTCAGGGCACGTGCGGGTTGTCACGACCTCGGACATCCGGACCCGGGTTTGTGCCTCGGGGGAAAGGGGTGTAGAATGTGGGGTGGGATGAGGTGTGTGTGTATGTGTATGTATGTGTGTGCGTTGGGGGAGGGGAAGCTAGCACTCGCAGTCTCACACCTGACGGCCGTGTCGCTGCCAGTTCCAGTACGACTTGCCGCCGCCGTCGCCGGCGCCGCTGCTTCCGCCGCCGCCAGGCCGTACGACAGGCGGTCCCGGCACACTCATCCCTCGCGCCGTCGCCACCTCCTCACCCCCCAGCGGCGCCGGAACCTCAAATGCCCGTACAAAGTCCAGGTAGTGCGCCCTGCCGCCCTCCTGGGGGACCACCCGGGCGATGACCCTCTCCCGCTCCCCGGGCTCCAGCCCCACGTGCAGCTGCTCCAGGGCGGCACGCAGCTGGTCGCGTGTCAGCATCCCGCCACTGCCCTCGCCGGCAAAGCTGAGGAGCACCTTGCGCACGTAGCCCTGTCGAGGAAGGGGCGGTTCGAAGGAGTGTCGGGGGGTTGGGGGCCCGCGGGGTTTCGGAGGGTTTCGGAGGAACAGGGGGGGAGTTTTTTGGGGTGGCATGCGGGGCTTGCGGAGTAGAGAACTCATCTCTGAGGATATGCGGGTGTCGTGTGTGTGGGGGGAGGGGGGGAAGAGGGGGAGAGGGGGTTTCGGAGGGTTTGTGGGTGAGTGGGGGCTGGGCCCCGCAGCTGGGGGTGGTTTAAACGGCGCTGTTCCTTCAGTACGTCCTTCTCCACTGGCCGTACATCCACTACGGTGTCGTCATTACGTCACATACCCCCACTTCCAACCTCCCCTAATCTCCCACCCTCAACTCCTAACCTCCCCGGCCCACCTCCCGGTGTGTTTTGAACAGCTTGTCGTACACTCGCGTGAGCAGAGGCCGATCCTCCACGCGGGTTTCACGAGCAGCAGGTTCCTGGGGCCTTATGTCGCCACAGACGTGGATGGAGGGGAGGACGTGGAGCGGCAAGATGGCGAGTACCGGACCAAGGGGGGAGAGGGGTAGTATGGGGGAAGGGACCCGGGAAGGGACCCGGGGATGAGTTGGTTTCGGGGCGGGAAAGGGGAGAAACGGTTTTTTTTCTTGGTGGGTTTGGGTGAGGGTCGGAGAGCCAACTGTACCGTGGCTGTGTATGAGCTATGACACGGAGATCAAGGGACGCGGGGGGGGGGGGCACGAGTCCTGCCGAGGGGGAATTCAAGTCGCATTGGATGACGCGCAAACACCTGAGTGCAGTACAAAATGTACTGCACAACAAGCTCACATACATACCTAAGGTGCTCAGGTACCTTGACCAGGCGGTCCGCACGGATCAGGGAAACAGTGCTTCTGCAACAACGAACCCAAAAGCGAGGGAGGGGTATGAAACGCCTTATTGGATGGCATGACATCGCATTGCTATGGCAGTTAAGCATCCCCTGTATGGCCCGAATGGTCCAAATGGCCCGGTGGTTCGACTGCACAGTTTCCTTTTCGTGTAGGTGAGCCCGCATCAGCATTTTTGGTGGTCAATGTCCACAGGATTAGGAACTATATGGCCGGTTATCGAAAAACATGAGTCCGCGCACCTTGAGATAGACGACACACCATCGTCCAAGGAATGCGCATTGCTGCAAGCACAATTGACATATACGGGGTACATCAGGACATTCCCATATAAATAGTGCGAGAATGCCATTTAGCATTAGGCGCGCACCTGATTCCCATCGCGTGCCTCCGGACGCGCCGGCTGGCCATGGGCGATCGCCCATTATGTTCATGGCTAGACATTTTCCTTAACAGAGAAAGCAGCGACAAGCTAACCTGTTTTCGGCTTATTGTCAAGACGGAGAATACTTTGAAGTACTCAAGCGCGATCGCAAGTTACAGTCTATCATTGTAAGGGAAGAAATCTCGTAGCAAGACAAAGCAATCAAAATGCATCAATGCGCCCAGACGCTCTCTAACGCTTAGCTTGCTTAGCTTTGTAGAAAATCGAGCAGAGAGTTACAAGCTCTGCCTGGGTAGTTGCACCATGTGATAGGTTTATTTTAGGCATAAAGTGATGAATACCCACAAGGGCAAATGTGCCGTCTTCCGATCATTGCCGTTTCGGCGGGCTGAAGCGACTTTTACTCCGAAACCACTCCTTCTTCCTGCATCTGACCATTATCTTAGTCTATGGCGAGATAAAGTATGTTTGTTTATTTATATATCTATGCGCGAAGCATCACGGGCGTAGGCTCTCCTAGGGATGCTGTGCAAGTTGTGGCACAGGTCCAACACATTTTCCCATATCTGTAATCCACAAGCAACCGTGTTGTGCAAAATATTGTAATGGGACCCCTCACTTAACGGCTGTGGTTTAGACATGTTGTACAGCTATGGGTCAAGATGCAGAGGGACCTCTAATCCAGGCGGGAGTGATTTCGTCTATTCACTTTTTGGCCTTGCCGCCCTGTTCTCCACTTGGCGTAGACAGCCTCTGGGAAGAACTGCGTCTCTGATAACCCTCGGCCTCTGATAGCCCGGTAATCCTGATGACCCTGTAATCTCCGGGTTTCTAGTCTATGTCTTTGAAGACCCCGCTGCACAGGGCCAGTCATGCCCTTCCATGTCTCATGAAGCTTGTCGCATATTTCTCCCCTGTAACACAAGTAAGGTGCATAAACTCAGATGGCAGATGAACGTCCGCACCACCTTGCGGAATCCACGGTACATCGCTACGTCAAGGCCGATTTGACGAACAGGAGTAAACTTTCTCAAAGCTGCCCTGTGGACATACGGCTGGCGAGCTGCTAATTCCGCTAGCAGAGTTGCGTTCGGAAGCCAACATATTGCCCAGTGGGGTAGTTTGCAAAACCTAAGATCCTGATTTGCTGCAAGATAAGCCTGTCATGGACTGCGCTCTAGAAACCTAGATACGGCGGCAAAAAGAATAGGAACCAGGCAGCTACACATGCTCAATTTTCGGTTGGAAACTTGAGCCTAAATAATTTCGCAAAGGCCCGGCCATTCAATCAGATGCAATCGTTCAGTTGACATCTGCCAGAAGCTCTGGCTTTGGTTGTGGCCCCGGATGCAAACAACGGAAAGCAAAGTTTGCATCCAAGGTTTACGTCAGTAAGTGCCTTTCGGCTTTCGCTGGGGCGCCTGGCTGGCGTTGCGGTTTCCAATCCCAAACAGAAGTTGGACTTAATCCGTGCAATATGAAATACTCCAATCGCAAAAGGGACAGCAGTGTTTTGATTGCTGTAAGGATGATGCTCCGGAACCGCTGACGCCACAAGGTAAGGAACGGCCGAAAGCTTACATCATAGCAGATGCTTTTCTGCATCGATTGCTCCACCAACTCTAAAAAAATAGATGGCGAATTTCTGAAGTCTGGTAACGCGCAGACCTGGCTAACGCGATTGGGAATATAACTGAATTACGTTTCCAGTTTAAACCTTCCAGGGCGCGCTGTTGCCAACCGGCGCCCGAAGCATTTTTTCCCGGCCGACTCCGTGCTTCAGTTACGTAGTTACGTCATTTTTCTCCGCGCAAGCATTACAACAAAATTCCATCCTTCACAGAAACGCGGTTTCCTATCAAGTTGCTGCCGGCGTCTCGTCACTATTTTGCCAGACCATCGCCTCCCCGCGAACCACCTGAACCTACTCCGTCGATCTGGGTCATCTCTGAGTCATCGACCATTCCATCCAATCCCACCAACAGCCCACATCATCCGGCTTCCTCTCTGCTACTAAATTTATAGATTTGCTTGGTCAGCGCGCAGGTTACAAGGAGTTTGGAGAACTTAAAAAGCAGAGGCTGACCCACGGGTCATAGTTGTCCCAGCAGCTTCCCGGGTCCTTTACTCGTCCACGCACAAAATGCTTGATGTGGTGGCCTTCATAAGCTTTGGTGCGCCACATACAAAGTGAGCACGGCGTGGAGCAGAGTGGTTGGTTGGGGCTTATGCTCTGGAGCTATATCCGTACTAGCTGGACCTGATGGCACATGCGCGAGGTGGCAGTAGCTGCGAACTGAACTACTACATCCACATCTACTGACCTGCTACACCCTTGAATCACTGCTAGCGTGAACTAAAAACTAAACCGCCGTACAACTTCTTTCCAATTCCTGCTTCGCTTCTTTTGCGTCTGCGGTCAGCCACCTGCTGTAGACCACAGGTCTGACCTAACTGATAACGGTTAACGGCTAACTGCTAAACGTTAACGGCTAGCGGTTAACGACTCAGAGACACACATCAGCGCGCGCACAGCGACTCTTCGGGCCGAGCCTGGTTCAGGCGGGCAGTAATAGCAGTAGCAGTAACAGTAACATTGGCAGTACTGTACTAGCAGCCGTACTATAGCAGCAGCAGCAGCAGCAGCAGGGGCATTAGCAGCAGCAGCAGCAGTGTCTGTCCTGGTTTGCTTCATCATTCATTCGCCCTCTGCCCTATCGGACAGCTGTCCAAAGGATCTGGCCAGGATTAGATAAGACGGGGCCCGCAGACCGCCCATCACTCCATCACTACTAGGGGCCCTGCTCGGAGTGTCCGTGGGGCCCGCGGGAGCCGCCATACGGTCCAGTCTTCCCGACCGGACCCAACCCCCCACACGGGTCCAGCTCAACTCAGCCCCAGCCCCAGCCCGGGGCCACCTATAACCCGGGGCAACACGCGGCCGCCTATGGACCTGTCCCGGGCGGCCTCCCTGGCGCTCCTCGGGGCTCTGGAGGACCGCCTGGACACCATGAGGTTGGGGTCCTTAGACACGCTGGCGGAGGCGGCGCTGGCGGCGGAGGCGGCGGAGGGGGCTGGCGGTGGCGGCGCCTCCGCCGCCGCCAGCGCGGCGTCCCCTTCGGGCGCCCCACGCCACTCGCCTTGTGGCGGCGGAGGTGGAACCTCCCTAGACGTGCTGCCGCCGCTGTTGACGTTTCTCGGTGCGGAGGTGGATGATGGCGGTGTACGGCGGGGTAATGGACCGACGGGGCTGCCGTCAGGCTTCTTGAGTGCCGGAGCTGCTGCTGCCTGTATGCCTGGTGCGCCGGGTAGTAGTGGCGGCAGTGGCGGCGGCGGCGGCGGCAGCAATGGCAGTGGTGGAGGCTCCGCTGCACCCGCAATGCCTGCGGCCACCCCGTTTGCAGCCGTGGCGACGACAGCGGCAGCGGCCGCTGCTGCCGCTACGACGACGCCGCCACTGCGGCCGTCATCGCGGTTTTTCCTGACAGGGCTCAGCTCTTCTGCCGCAGATGCCATCGCCGCTAGCAGCCCTGGGGTCAACCTGGCCGCGGCGGCGGCGCACGTGCCGGATCACTCCGCCTTGGCCACAGACGACGCTGCCGCCGGCCTGTGCCGTACAGGGACCTTCGGTGCCCGTAGTGTCGCAGCAACGAGAAACATGAAGGAAGGCATGAGCTGCTGCGGGGCACTTACTTGCGGGGCAGTGGGGCCGTTACGTTCCGGCGGAGGTGGGAGCAACGCAAACGGCGGCGGCGGCGACAGCGATTGCAGCGGCGACGACGGTGACGTCACCGGCAGCGGCAGCGGACAGTTGATCGTGTTGCCGCTGTTCCATTCGCTGCCCACCGATATCATGGCGCCAGGGGTAAGGCCGCCGCCGCCGCCGCCGCTGCCGCCGCCGCCGCTGCCGACGTCGGTGCCGTCGGGGGTGGCAGCGAGACCCGGATTAACAGAGCGCCACCGAACCCCTCATGGTGTTTGTCGTACTGGCGATGCCGCGACACCGAGCGACCCGTCTGAGTGCTTACCTCCGCATTCGCCGCCGCCGGCGCAATCACCGCCGCCGCCGCATTCGCCGCCGCAGAAACGGCCCGGCCAAATTGCCCCGCGTCTACAGCACCACCAGCAGTATCATGCAGGATCAGGATCAGGGGGCTGGGATCCCCCCTGGGTTAGGGATCAGGAGCAGCAGCAACCGCCGCCGCCGGCGACAACGGCGACGGTGGCGATGTCGCTGGCGACACATGCGGCTCTAAACCGCCAGGTTGCAGTGCCGCCGCCGCCGCCGCCGCCGCCGCAGCAGCAGCAGCAGCAGCAGCAAGGCCATCCGTGTCGGCCATCCGCGCTGCTGAATAAGCCCCTCCAAGCACAGTCACCGCCGACGCCACGTCAACACCAACAGGATCGCCAACAACAACAACAACAACTGCTGATTGGGGTTGCTGGTGCTGGTGGCTGTAGCGGCAGTAGTAGTTGTACGGCCGTCCAGGATCGTCAGCCGAGTGAGAGCGCACCGACGCAGCTTGGGCATACCACCGCCGCCGCCGCCGCCGCCGCCCCCTCTGCCAGCAAAAGGCAGCGGCAACAGCCTTCGGGGCATCAGCCTCAGCAGCCTCAGCAGCAGAGTCGGCTACTGCTGGGTGATGGGGTCTTAGAGCGGGGGGCGGCTCACGTGGACAAGGACGCGGGCGAGGGTGGCGAGGAAGCAAGGAGGAGGAAGAGGCTGGCGGAATGGCCGCCGCGGGTAGGCGGTGCCGGCGGCGGCGGCGGCGGTGGCGGCGGCAACAATGGCCAGATATCACCCGGGGAAGGGTCCGACGGTGGTGGCGGCGGATCCCTGCCGCGGCGGCGTCCGCGACAAGCTGCTGCACAGGCAGCGGCGACCATTGCCGCCGTCGCGCGGGACTTGTACGGCATACGCGGTGACAAAGCCGCCTGTGATAGCGGAGGCGGCGGCGGGGCCGGATTAGGGACGGCAGTTGACGACGTCTATGACGGAGGTGATGGTGGCGGTAGTCTGGCTGTTCCGACCGCCGCCGCCGTCGCTGCGGCGCCGTCAGGTGGTGCGTCCGAGGCTGCTGCGGCGGCGGTGGCATTACCAGCGAGCAGCGCCGACGCCGATATGTGGCCGTCACTGCCGCCGCGGCTGCCGCCACTGCCACCGTTCCGCTTGAAGATGCAGCTCTCCTGCGGCGGGAACGGCAGCGGCGGTGGCGGCGGCGGCGGCGGTGGCGGCGGCACGAAGCGAAATGCGACAGCCGCTGCTACTGCCGAGGGGAAAGCACAGATCCACCACCAGGTCGCGAGCCGAGACGGACATTCCGCTGTCCGGCAGCTACAGCAACAGCAGCTACAGCAGCTACAGCAGCTGCAAATACAACCATCGCCAGGCAAGAAACTAAAGACAGGCGACGCCGCGGCTGCAGGGCCGCCGGCAGCGGCGGTGGCGACGGCGCAGCGCGCTGCCAAGATCGCTGAGTTGGCGTTCTGCAGCGGCGGCGGCGGCGGCGGCGGCATTGCAGCCGCGCCGATGGAGGCGGCGGAGGCTGAGGTGGCGGCGGCCTTGGCGGCTGCCGAGGTGCAAGAAGCCGCCGCCGCCGCCGCCATCGCCATGGACGGGCCTTTTAAGGGCAATCGAAACAGCGACAAAACCATGTGGGTGTCGTATGGTGTGTCGTACAATGATCATGGAAAGCGCTCCTCGTGGCCCCAAAACGGGCTAAAAAGAACCAACCAACCCAACAAACCCAACAAACAAACCACCCTGTAACAACAACAACAAGGAAACACAGTTGCAGCTCAGTTTCCACACTAACCAACTGGCGGCAGCTGCAGCACCACGGCTAGGGAAACACCCTCAGGCAGGTGGTGCAGTGAACTTTGGCAGCTGCAGTTTTTGGCAATTTGTATCGTTTGTATCATGGTCTTGGAGTTCCTCCTCCTCCCCCGCGCCCCTCCTCCTCCCCCTCCTCCTCCGGCAGCAGCTTCACTGGCTCGTGGTTCGTCTTTTCCCCCCTCCCCCCTACCCCCGTTCGTCCGGGCAGGCAGCGTCGGGAGCGGAACCGACTCGCCGCTCGGAAGTGCCGTGCAAAGAAGATGGAGTTCATCGCGCACATGCAGGTACGACAATGCGGTATGTACGGCAGGTGGCGTGTTACGAGTGCTGTGGGCCAGACAGATCCCTGGAAAGGTCGGAGCGGGTCTTCACACCGCCCGGGGGGCCCCCTCTCATACAGCTGCTCCTCGCACTCTTTTCGTGCCGTGAAATTTCATAACCAACATTTAACCAACATTTAACTAACATTTAGCCGACATTTAACCAACATATAACTAACATATCTGCCGCTTACAGAATGGAGGAAAAATGACTTCCCCACCCCTCCAAGCCTCCCCTCCCCTCCCCCTCCGCCTCCAAGCCCCCCACAACCTCCCCCACAACCCTCTTACCCTCCCCCCCCTACCCCCGCTCCCCGGGGCCTCCATAAGGCCCAGCTGGACGCCATGGCGGCGCGCAATGAGGAGCTCCGAGTGCAGCTGGTGGCTTTACAGCGAATGTACAGCAGGGAGGTCCAGCTCAAGGAGGTGCTCAAGGTAGGTGGGGCGAGCTGCAATCGCAAGGGGAGGGGGGGGAGGGGGGAGTTGCACCTGTTGCAAAGCCAAAGCACGTTTGTCGTACAAAAATAAACGACATGGTGTCATCAGGTTTAATTAAAAAATATATTTTTTGGCTTTGGGTTTTCTTTTGAAGGGGGGCGGCAGGAAATGCATCTTGCATGACCTTGGGCGCCACACTATATTAAATGTTTGATACCGCATACGCAGATTGTCGTCCAGGGGTGTTGGGACATGTACGGTTCTGGATCCAAACTGCCGTACACCGCGGAGGAGGTGCTGGCTGGCTTGGAGGTGCGTGGGATGGACACTGCAAACTTTATGGGAAAAACGCATTTGGTGTGTGTTTTGTGCGGTTGTGGGGTGTGTGTGTGGGAAGGGGGGGAGAAAGAACGGGAGGTAGAGAGTTCTGGGGTTACGTGGTTTCGTGGGCTTCATGAGGCGTTCGTTGACGGGGGTGAGGGGAAGGGGTTGCTTTGGGCCGCATGCGGGGGTTCTAAGCGCCACGTGTGGGGGAGAGACGGCCGTGTGCGTGCGTGTGTGCATCATACATACACACAGACACGAACACACACACGAACACATACACACACACGTCGAACCTAGCGCATGGCCTAGAGCCCCCCTGAGCCCTTGCCCTGGCAGCAGCTTCACTCGTTCGTGCTTCGTCTTTCCCCCCCTGGAGCCCCCCTGAGCCGTCCGCTCAGTGCTTTTGTTTCGGATTGCTATCAAAATGCCCAAAATGCCTTCAAGAGACGTTCTAAAGACGACGTTCGGGTTGTCGACCCTCCGACACCACCAGCACCACGCGCTCACATGCGCGTACAGCTGCAGGGAGCTGTCGTACATTTGTACGGTAAAACCTCCGCTGATGAGGTGTACAGCACTCCCGCACCTGTCCGCAGGCAGGGTCGCTGGAAGTGGGGGAGCTGCTGGCCGTACTGGCGCCGTACATGGCACCGCCGCCTTCGCCGCAGCTACTGCTGGCGCCGCCGCCGCTGACGACGACGGCAGCGAACCCCGCTGGTGGCTGGCGCAACTCGCCCGCACCGCCACAACCGCCGCCGGCGCAAAGGCAGCCGACGGGCGGAATGGTCGCTGGCGACAAGGCACGTACAGAGTACGAGATGTACAACGAAGGCGGCGATGATGGACCTGACATGGCGATCGAGACCTCTGGTTCAGTGGGTGCGGGGGGGCTGTTAGAGGCGGAGTTGCTGGGTGGTGGAGGCGGGCGAGGCCGGGGGCCCGGAGAGAGCCGGGCCCCTGTCACCGCGGGTACGACAGGGCCAAAGCACCCGCTGCCTGGCGCTGTACGGCATGCTGACGGAATGCAGCAACTTGGCCCATTGGGTCTGCTGGGTGGTGCGCGGAGTTTCGGAGCCCGGGCCGGTCCGGTGCGAGTGAAGCTGGAGCCGCAGACGTATGTTGAGGGGGAGGAAGAGGAGGTGAAGGCGGGGGGAGGAGCGCCGCCGCCGCTGCCGCCGCCACCAGAGCCGCCGCCGCAGCTGCCGCAGCTGTCGCAGCCGCCAGGGGGGTCTATATGTCTCAACGCTGCCGCCTCTGCCGCCGCCGCCGTCGAAACAGCAGCAGCAACAACAGCAGCAGCAGCAGATGATGATGATGATGATGACGATGATGATGATGAGGGTAATGATGATCACAAGGAGCGCGGAGATGGTGACGATCGCGGTCGTAGCGGTGGTGGTGCTGGAGGTGGTCTTACTGCTGGCGGCGGCGGCGGCGGCGGCGGCGACGGCTGCGGCGACGGCTGCGGCGCACAGGACCTGGCGGCGAGTGGCCGAATGGACTCGGAAGACATCCTGCTGGCCGCCATGGCAGTGGTAGCGACGATACCACCCAGGGTAAGGAGCACAGCGGGGGAGGGGGAGTTGAGGAGGGCCTGATGCCACCGGCATCAGCGGGGGTGTGCCGTACAGATGCGCTAGCGTCGCGTGCCGTGCGGTACGGCTTGAGTACGGGCTATCGGCAGATCGTGTGTACTTTGCGATATGGTGTGATTTGTTCTCGACTTGGACCTTTTGGGGTTTTGGATTCTGGATTATAGCCATGCCAAGTGGAACTCCGGCGGGAGGAGAGAAAATATCCTGATTGTACGACATTGCCTACCGTTCCTGTTGGCGACGCTTTCTCACCTGTTACAGGAAGAGGGCTCCGTCCCGGCCGGTGGCGGTGGCGGTGGCGGTCCGGGTGACACCAGCGATGATGGCGGCGGTGGCGGAGGCAGCCAAAGCGGCACCGGCGGCGGCGGACCAGCTCGTCACCCTACTGCAGCTATGGCCACAGCCGGAGATGGCAGTAGCAGGGACACGGCCCTGGCGGCTTGCCGCGATACGACGGCTCTGACCGCCTTGCAGTACATGCTCCAGAACCCACACCGTACAACACCGTTTATCCAGACCCCAATTCCGCCACTGTCGGCGACAAGCAGCCCTGGGACGGGCGGGGCAGCTGCCAATGCCGCTGCCGCTGCAGCGGCGTTTTTCAGCGGCGCCGGCGTCAGAGCCAGCGGCGGTGGGATGGCGCTGCCGTGGCGGGATGCCGCGGATGGCATCAACCACATGACAGCGGCTCATGAAGGCGGTGCCGCCGCCGCCGCCGCCGGGCCCATAGGTCGGCCGATTCCACAGGTGTTGATGCCGGAGACGTTCTCGCCGCCTGCGCCGCCGTGCAGCTCCCCAGCCGGTGGCGGCGCAGCTGCCGCCGCGACCGGGTTGCCTCCCCCCACCTTCTTCCCCTGGCGCGGATGGGGGCCTATACAGCATCTCCACGCAGCGGCATTCGCCGCCCCCGGGATTGCTGCCGGCGGGGGCAGTGGCGGCGGCGGCGGCGGCTGTGCGGCAGCGCCCAATTTTGAGACCCTGCAACTCCCAACTCTGCCATCTCCTGGGTCAGTGCTTTCTGCAACCGCTGAAACGAACTTGCTGCCGTTGGCGGCTGCGGCAGCGGCGACCCCACCTTTGCCGTACTCTGTCCTGGGTTTCATGGTCCAAGACGGCGGCGGTACGGCCGCAGCGATGGGCCCTGCGCCTGGGGGCGATGCAGCTGCTATGGCGCCGCCAGTGCCGCCGCCGCAGTTCCAGGTGATGGACCTCGCCCAGGCTGCAACTTCGCCGAAACGCAACAGTCCACCGCCGCCGCTGCCGCAGCATATAGCGCCCCGCATGGCCCTTCCAGCGGCGCCGCCGTTGCTGCTACCCCCGCTGCTGTCATCACAGTCGTTGTTGTCTGCCGGGGGGTCTGTTGATCCCGCCGCGGCTGCCGGCGACGGCACCGGCGGCACCGGCGGCACCGGCGCTGTGCCGGGCCCGACGGCGTTGGCATTCGATCACATTCCTCAGTCAGCGGCTGCCGCCGCCCCCAGCAGCCCTTTCGGCGCCCTGGGTGTATTGCAGGCGAGGGCCTTACGGAGCGAGGCAACGTGTTTCAGGGACGCCGGCAGGCCGTACGGCCCGTAGGTTCTTAGAAGGATAGAAGATCGACATGGCTTTTTGCAGACTGTCTTTTCCCCAATCTTGCCTAATCCTGGAGTATCCGTCTATCTTCGGTATCTGCTTCAATTGTCGGTAGTTCGTCTTACCCTACGGTTCTGTTGATACTTGGGAGACTTCCCCGGGTTGCGATATGTGCGTTGCTGGGAACGGAAAATTGGGCAACGGAAAATTGCGATGATCTGACCCAGGGGCAGGAAGTGGCGAGGAGGAGGAGGAGGAGGAGGATGCATGAGTGAGAGCAATGGACGGGCACATACCGCGCCTGTGCCCCTCCTCTTTCAAACCCTTGGCGGTGGTGGCCGTGGTGGCGGTGGTGGTGATGGTCGATAGGAGATGCGTCGCACAGTGCGCCCGCGGAGGTTGCGTGTTATCACATGAATTCGTGGAGAGTACGAGTTCCTTTTGAGAGATTGCGGTGCTCAGGAGAGTGGGTAGCTGAGGGCGCGTGTGGGATTCACGACGAACCGGCTTAGATCCGATCTGAACTCAAGGTGGGGGCACGTGCTTTACGGGTGCAGCTGCACAACATTTAGCGGAAAGCTCTCTCCGCATTGCCCCGACAAGGGGTCTAGGCAAAGCAGTTGGGGCCCATGCTGCCCAGCTTGAAGCATGCATACATACATACATACTTGGGTTTGGCACTACTGGTAATGCGCGACCATTGCCCCCGGGAGATCTCGGGATCGATATCCATTAGGGTCAAAAGTCCTTCCGATGGTGGAAGGTATTGCGCCCCTAGTTGATGGACGGTGGTGACCTGGGATAAAGTTAACCTGCGAACCGACCAGGAACGGAGTTGGGCCGCTGTCGGCCCGGCAGATTTCGTTGGATGCTGATGGTGGGTGCGGAACCTGAGCGATCCACTGAGAGGTTGACTAGGGTGACTGGATGAGGGTGCCCCGAAATACCAGGGAAGGCAGGGTTTCGCAGGGTAGCTGCCACGGGCGAAGATACACCTCCCTGTTTCACACATCATACATACATACGTACATACATACTACGGGTGGATCCCGAGGGACGTAGATCGGGGGGTTCATGGCCGTGCATATGTGTGTCTGTATGTGTTTTAATCTTCAAGCTGATGAGGTGGACAGATGTGCCCTAAGATCTGCGGTTGGGCACGTGCAAGACATGCCAGGATCCCTATGCGAAGTCTTAGGGCCACCTAGGGCATCTTGAGCGCTTCTGACGGATTTCTTTCAATCCTCGCGGCCCCCCTAATTTTCAATTCTTGCGAGGAATGTCCGCAATCGAATCTGAAATCCTGTTGCAATTGAGTCGCATGCAGGGCTTGGGCCGCATTGGCCTCCCCTGCTCATGCATAGTTAAGAGCACTTTATTCGAGGATTTGCTACCCATGGCATGCAGAAGACAAAGGCACTGTGCAGCCTTTGTATTTGGCGGCGTCTTTGCTTCTGTTGTGCGGGCGTCGTTGCGATGGTTCCATGCCGGCGTGGCACGGGGAGAGAGAGGGGCCGGCGGCTTCTGTTATGGCGCACGGCTAGGGGTTAAGAGCCAGCGGGCCATGATAGCCTGCCGTGCCTAGGAATTAGGAGGGCTGTGTGAGCGGGGCTGCGAGGTGGAGTGGAGAGGCAGATACAGCCTTGCGGCGGTTGCCACCTGGATGAATGCCGCATGTGCATCTTCAAGTGCCGCATGCATGCGCCCAGAGCTCAGAACAGGAGCCCGAACTAATTGCAAGGAGGTAACGTGGTTAGTTGGAGTCGAGAGGCTGTACTGCCCGCAATAGCAATAGCAGCAAAGGCACGGGCAACATGCCAGGGATTAGAGCTATAGCTATAGGTCGTTGTTCATATCTATGGTTGTGTGTCAACCTGCTGTGCATCCGCCACAGCGGAGAAGCCGGAGTGTATGGCTCGCTGCAAAGAAGCTGGAAAGTTGGTGGGTAACCAATGGTGACCCACGCAAGGATGCCGTTCTTGCAGGGAAAGTTGATACGAGAAATTCGCATCCATACTTGCGCCTGCGCATTAATCGGTCGCAGGAAAGGCTCAACCATGGTCTTAAGGCTAAAGTTGTTCACTCTTACAGTTGTACCCGCATGGATTGGCCCCACGGCTGGGAGCGGGTTAGGGACAATGAGTGCAAGAAGAAAACGGTCAACCCCCTAGTCCACCTAGTCCATGTACCTTCTCTATGCGTCAGACACTAGTTGAGGACTAACGGCTTTAGCACACTTTAATTCTATACCATGAACAAGTCCCATTCCGGAACTGCGCCATGCCTCTGGCGGGAGATCTATATCTATATGCGATAGACATCCAACGAAGCTACACCCTACCTGCTGTACGCTTCCCAGGAAGCTACCGCCTACCTTCTCTCCTGTACTGGTCCTCAAACAAAAGCAACCCTGCAAAAGTCGAACGCAGTGGAAGTACACACGAACGCCCGAGCATCGTACGCCATCGCTGCCTGCGCCACACATCATGTGTCCTATCCTGCATGAACGTTAATAAACTCGTCGCTCACAGCCCGACCCTGCCACATAGCAATGTAAGGCGCGCGATATCTAAAGAACACCTCTTGCACTGCGTATCTCACTCCACACATGGGGGCGCTGCCGTTGGATATATCGCACTGCGTCTAAATATTCGCACTTGAAGATGGGGGTCGGCAGCACTATGAAAGCCTCACCGTGCCGGACGCAGCCACACCGTGCATATACTTTGCTTAATGTACAACCTACGTTTGCGCCAGCGCCGTTAAGATATACAACACGCAAACTGCGGCCAAAAAAAACATGTAAACCACCTGCAGCACACCCATGCTCTCGGCTTGCTACTCCCGCTTCCACTTGCTTCGTGGACGGTATTGGATAGGTCTCTCTGCCCATTGTAATATCTTCAGTGCATGCTCCACCTACCAAATCCGTGTGGGGATCTGAACTTCATGGTTGCATCCTCGCGGAAGGGTAAAGCACCAACATTCGCCATTATGCTCATCGGGCGGTTCGCTGATTTGTGGCAATGCCCCCAGCACTGCTATGGCTCCCTGTCAGTTGCCCAGATGGCTGCAAGGGCCGATAACAACCCGCATGTCGAGGCACAGCGCTGGCTTTCCTTCAATGCAAATTCACCCAGCCCAGGTTGCCCGCCCTGTTGCCCGTCACCTGCCCCGCGATGGCACCGTGAAGGCGAGGGCAATTGCACCGGGGTCTGCCTCGGAAACGGAGGTCATGGTCGCGGCACTCCGGGCAAGATTGAGAGTACGGGCAAGCGGCAGGGGCAGGAGCAGGCGCCTGAGGAAAGGGCGCTGCGCCGGCTCCAGCGGATGTTGCAGCGGTAGACGTGATGGCCTGGACGACACGCGGGAACGATAGCGTTATTGTTTCGACACGGTAGACATGCTAAGGCACGGCACTGTGTCCCTGGAAGGTTTCAGGTTCAAGATCGCTGAAGTGCGGGTTGAATTCCCTCGAACCCTATCACACACAGTTAAGGGATATTGCACAAAACTGAAGGGGCATCAGGCTTCGCTAAAAGCAGTGAATGTCATGCAAAAGCACCCCGTACATCAGCTTAGGGCGTTTCTAAAATGGGGCCCAATGCGAGGATGTAACAGCTGGCCGGCTTACCCCCATGCCGCCGCTTTTTGTGCCGGAGTCTGTTGCAGTGCCAGCAGCGGAGGCAGCCCGTGCGGCCGCGGCGCCAGTCAGCACCCGCTTGCGTGCGGTGCCATCGGTATTGGTGCACTTCCAGTACGACGGCCTGCACGAGCAACAATGCCGAGTAAGGTGGAAACATCAGGCCCGGGAGTGCTGCCACACATAAGGAATTCAGGTAAATTGTTATGCACCGGAATCAATTCATTCACATCAGGCTGATCAGGCTAGCGTGGAAGGCATATTCCAAGTTCGGTAGCATCCGCATCCGATGCGAGTCAGGTGTACAAAAGTTAAGCAGGAGGACAAAATTGCAGGCACTTGAGGCCCGATGGCCCTTCGCCACCCTAAGCAAACACCCTGCACATTTAGGTTTGCCTAAATACCGCCTTGCCCTTGCGCGGGATGCACAGTCCGCAGCTATACATTCATCACGCGTAATGCGCGCCTACAGCCACTCTCAACGTCAACAATAACACCTTGGGGCAGCGGTTGAGTTCTCACCGAAAGCCGTCCAGCTGGCAGTCGCAGTAGATGCACGTGGCGCTGCGCGGGTTGCACATGATCATGTTGCCGCATGTAATGCACGTGCTCTCCTTCGCATCGTACAACACGCGACCCGTGTCCTTGGTGCGCTTTAAACCGTCAGGGGCAGAAGGATCAGGCAGCGGCCGTGCACGCTCGCCGGCAGTGTCCCATGGCTGGCCGTCAGCGTCCGGCACAGTAACGTGCGCCGTGGCACGAGCAGGGCAAAGTACACAAGTGTGAGAAAAGGGGCGGTTGGCAGCGGTGACGGCTGAGCATAACTCGGCCTTAAAGGTATAACTTAGCGACGAGAAAAGATGCGTGACGTTGCACAGCAAGTCGCTACCTCAACCTCCAGATGTAGCAGGGCCCAACTAATGGCGAGCAATTAAAGCACAGGTGCCCCTCACCGCTCCAACCACCCCATCCCTCTGTCACCTGTTCCTTGCCACAGTGGCCGCAAAACAGCCGAATAGTGGCGGCGCCCGGCACCGGCTTGGCGTCCAGCGCCACGCGCGCAAGCGCCCGCTCCAGCTCCGCCAACACGTCCTTGCGTGAGCGGCGCGCCACGCCGCTGCTGGACTTGCTGCTCCGCGCGCCAGCAGACTTGCGACCAACCTTCCGTTTAGTTCCTGCACCATGGCTGCTACGTCTGGCCGACGTGCCCTCCTCGTTATCACCATCCTCCTCGCTATTTTTGCTCTTACGGACCTGGCCCTGCTCCATATGATCTTCATCAGAATTGGAGACGGTCTCGGGCTCCCCGCTAGGCGTAGCGGTGCTGTCACCCAAGGCACTGCCGTCCAACTGTGAGTCGGTGTTGCTGGGCGACGAGCCGGTGCCAGTGTCGGAGCCGCTGCACAGGGTTGCTAGGTCAATAAGCGGTGGGCCAGGCCTGCGGCCAGGAACGGCTGCAGAGGCCGCTGCAGAGCCTTCGCCGGTTGCAGTCGCAGGCCCGGAGGTGACTGCAGAGGTCTTGGGCGGTTGGGCCCTACTGCCGGCATGGTTGCTGCCGCTCGCTGCGCTCTTGGTAGCACCGGCCGCCTTTCCATCCTGAAACCAGGCAGGCGGGGTGCAAACAGGTCGCCAGACGGGTGTTGCTAGACAGGGTAGAAGTCTTGGTATGCTGTCGTCGTACCTGCTAACTAACCTTGCTCTACCGGCTAATTGCTGTCGCTGCTTCCATCGCATCTGCAAACGTCGGCATGCTAAAACAGATGCGTGTCCCCCTACGTTTCGTTTCCTATACAACATGTACATCACAAAACAGCAATGCAAACAAGAGCTCCTATAATGCCGTGGAGAAGCGTATAATCTGTAACCATTCGCACTCCAATACAAAATTGAGTCATGAGGCAGAAGCATGCAGACACACGTCAAGGTAACATGGCCGCGACAGGAACTCACCACCTGCGGGGCTGGCAGGTCGGTTGCGGCTGTGCTTCGTCGTCGTAACCTCACGTGTGCCGCTGCCACAGCGGCGGCTTTTCGCCGCGGGTCTTCCACCTGGAGATTCCAGTGCCGAGGCCGGTCATGGCGCGACGGGCTGCGGTCGCCACTGTAGCCATAGCCACGGCGATAGTCATTGCGGCCGCGATCACGGAGGTCCCGATGATCGCCACGGCTGTAGTCCCTGGCTTGATCTCTGTCACGGTAGTCACGGCGATTGCAGTCGCGACCAGGGTAACGGTCTCGATAGTCACGGTAGTAAGAACTGCCGTAACGGCCTCGATCGTCCCTGATGTGATCGCGGTCATTGCTGGCATATGCCGACTTGTACGGCTTGTGCTGCGAAGCAGCGTAATCCTATTGCGGTAGGGCGAGCATAAAGAGGTAGTGTGTCTGCATGACAAGCGCCGCGCGCGCACTCTGTAGATGCTTTCGGGATAGCATGGTATGGGCGTTGGGCACTGGGATGGCGTGCTGTGACCGTTCATCAATGGCAAGACGAAAGCCTGGCATGAGGCGAGGCCGGAAAACTCACAAGGCTTAAAAAAGATAGCCCGCTGCAAGGACAGAACACCTAGACTGCCTACCATGTCTCAGGTGGCATGACCTGTGTGACAGGAATCCTTCAATCGTGACTATCGCACGCATCCACACAATCTGTCGGTAGCACACAAACACACGCACCTCGCGACGCGCTGGGACGTCCGTTTGGCGTTGCGGTGGTGCGGGAAGCGGCTGGCAGGCGGCGCGATCCATGTAAGGCATGTTAAGGTGCCGACAGGGGACCGGCGGTGGGGCAGCATACTGCGGCTGGACCGCTTGCGGCTTGATGCTTTGGCTTGGTACAGTCTGTCTACAAGGGGCATGCTTTGGAGCCACCTGGGTACTGGTGGCGGTGCGGTCTCGACTGGGAGGAAGAGTACTCCCGGCGCTGATTGGAGGTGGCGGCGGCAGCGATAGCGGATGCACTGTAAGGAGTGGCTGCGGTGGGGGAAGTGGTGGGGGCGGCGGAAGGATCTCGAGCGGTGGAGGGCCCGGTGGAAGCGGTGGCATTAATGGAGATGCTGGCGGCGGGGGTGGTGGCGGGTAAGGTGGTAATGGTGGCGGCGGCGGGTAGGGCGGCAGTGGTAGAGGCGGGCAGGAAGGCAGCTGGGGGCCGGGTGGTGGTGGTGGATTGGAAGGGTGAGGTGAATCTTGGGGCAAAGGCGCCAGGGTGCAAAGAAGGGAAGATGGGTGGATTGGCTGCGGCGGTATGGCTTGAGCTCGTGCCATGGGCGGCTGATGCTGGTGACTATTACCTGCGGCATTGAGGCCGCTGGTGACCATGCTGCTACATGTTGCGGCACCAACCGCGGTATCTGGCATCGCTGAAGCCGCAGTGGCAGCTGTGACTATGGCACCATTGCCACCTGCGGTCAGCAGCCATGCACTGATTGAAGGCCACCAGCCGCGGTGACGGCTGGGTGTCAAGGTCCCGGTCGTGAGGCCTGCTGCTGTCGCTGGTCTGGATGGCCGTGCACCTTGCTCACCAAGTCCTGAAGACTTGGACACCTGGCGCTCCGCTTTAGCCAGATCGCTACCGGCATTTCCGTTATCACTTTTGCGACCAGTATTGTCGCCACCTTTGGAGGCTGCGTGCTTTGGGGAACTAGGTAGAGGAACAGTGGCCGCAGCAGCCAAGGCCGTACCGCCCGGACAAACTGCTGGCGATCTTGTACCGACGACTGCGTTGCACGGTCGATTCCAGTTGATCGGGGGTGCGGGCCTCATCCATGGTAGTGGTGTCAGTACCCGGATGTTGTAAGCGTAAGGGTGTCCCTCCCCGTATGGACGGTGCAAACTGTATTGAACATCTAGTCCAACACATAAGTCCAGGTTGGGCAGAAGAGCCGGGACGACAAACGCCTGCTGGGCGAAATGAAGATCTTCCATCGCGAATCACTGTAACGAAAGGACCATAGTAACAGCCGTATCCTTACCCTCGAAAAAGGGATTTGATAGTAGCGGCCATCACCGAACATACTCGTGATCATCCCGCTGCAGCTTTCATAGTGCGTTATCCTTCCACTATGAATCTCGTGCTGGGGCTGGTGATGCATGGCCCTCAGGAGCTCCTCAATAAAGGACTGTGCCCAAGGTAACAGCAGCCAAGCTGGATGTGCTTTGATGCCTAAATCGCAAGCAGCTACAAACCGGTCTGTCGCCAAAATGTTTCGGGCACACGTCTTGATTCCGCCAGGAGTACTTTATCCAAATTTGTATTTGTAATTATTTTACAGTCCTGCGACGCACTCTGCGCCTTTAGCAGTTTGGCCCTAAAAGCAGGACGATTGGATCGTGAATCCATAAGTTCCGATGCCATGCGGGATGAAACAGGGTAAAGATGGAACAAAATCCAAAGCTTGTATCGAATGTTTCATGGCGAACATGGAGAAAATCTTGGAGCTTGCTTTATGTTTAGATCTGGACTGTTCATCGATGCCGGGGCCCCTCCTGAGTTGTCAGGAGTATCGAAGCTGCTTAGGCTTATTGAACAAGTAGATTCGGATGTCACGACGCAGGGTCCCAGCGCTGCAGCCGATAGTGACCGTGGCAGAGCAACATGACCTCCCGCCAGGCTCCGTCCCTCCCCACCGGCTCCACATCACGCTAAGCACGCCGGCAAACGCAGCAAGCACGACTATCAAAACATGCCTCCTGTCTAATAGAGTCAAATTTAAAATTCAAGGGTTTGACCTACCGCATTTTCGGAAATAGGTAATATGTTTACATCACGTAAAAATAGTAGCAACCGATCCAGCCTCATGTTTTTTATACCCAATACCATCCTATCCCTCAGCCATCTAGTGCCGGGCGACTGCGAACAGGTGGAGGGGATTAACTGTGGATCAAAGGCATCTTGCCTTCCAAATCCGTGTGTATAACCTCGGATGTCACTTACGCAGAAGCCTCCTTCACGGCACGGCTTTCGCCAAATGCACGACAAGCCTCACGTCTTTTTGAGCGAGCGCAAGGGACGGTGGGTACCTTTTAACCTTGCTGGTCGTGCCGTCCCATCTTCCATCCGCTCGCATCCACTGGGCCCTGCACTTTCGGATACTTATCCTATCAGCACGCCTATCACGAGACCACTCACCACGTGAGGTACGAGGGAGTCTCACCCCCTCTCTCTTCTCTATGATCCGCCGCTGCCGCCACCCCAGGCATCCGTGGCCACTGGTCGAGCTCGGATACGTGTGGATGCCGAAACGGAAGATGGCTCCTGCGGCTGCTCTCTGGAGGCCAGCACGGCGCTTACGCCAGGCCAGTCCACGCCCTTGCCACACGCCCTTGCCTAGATAAGACAAAGTTGCTCCAATGTGCCATCCCTCGCCATTTCCTTCTCGCAGCTCAGTACATTACGATGCATCTACTTTGCAGCACTCTGGCCTTTGAACCGGACTGATTTGACCAGTGCAAGGCTCCACGGCCGACGGCAGCTCGTGAAGTGCAGCTCTCCGCTTGAGTGTGTGATGGGGCTGAGGTGACGAGGTTCTGTTCGGATGGCAGGACATGGCCATGCAGGTTTAGGCCCACTTTTAGCCCGGGCCCGACGGCGTTGGCATTCGATCACAT